GTGACAAGACGGTACAAAGTGACAAGACGGTACAAAGTGACAAGACGGTACAAGGTGACAAGACTGTACAAAGTGACAAGACGGTACAAGGTGACAAGACGGTACAAAGTGACAAGACGGTACAAAGTGACAAGACGGTACAAAGTGACAAGACGGTACAAAGTGACAAGACGGTACAAAGTGACAAGATGGTACAAGGTGACAAGACTGTACAAGGTGACAAGACGGTACAAAGTGACAAGACGGTACAAGGTGACAAGACGGTACAAGGTGACAAGACGGTACAAAGTGACAAGACGGTACAAAGTGACAAGACGGTACAAGGTGACAAGATGGTACAAAGTGACAAGACGGTACAAAGTGACAAGACGGTGCAAGGTGACAAGACGGTACAAGGTGACAAGACGGTACAAAGTGACAAGATGGTACAAAGTGACAAGACGGTACAAGGTGACAAGACGGTACAAGGTGACAAGACGGTACAAAGTGACAAGACGGTACAAAGTGACAAGACGGTACAAGGTGACAAGACGGTACAAAGTGACAAGACGGTGCAAGGTGACAAGACGGTACAAGGTGACAAGACGGTACAAAGTGACAAGACGGTACAAAGTGACAAGACTGTACAAAGTGACAAGACGGTACAAAGTGACAAGACGGTACAAGGTGACAAGACGGTACAAAGTGACAAGACGGTACAAAATGACAAGACGGTGCAAGGTGACAAGACGGTACAAGGTGACAAGACGGTACAAAGTGACAAGACGGTACAAAGTGACAAGACTGTACAAAGTGACAAGACGGTACAAAGTGACAAGACGGTACAAGGTGACAAGACGGTACAAAGTGACAAGACGGTACAAAGTGACAAGACGGTACAAAGTGACAAGACGTTACAAGGTGACAAGACGGTACAAAGTGACAAGACGGTACAAAGTGACAAGACGGTACAAAGTGACAAGACGTTACAAGGTGACAAGACGGTACAAAGTGACAAGACGGTACAAAGTGACAAGACGGTACAAAGTGACAAGACGTTACAAGGTGACAAGACGGTACAAAGTGACAAGACGTTACAAAGTGACAAGACGGTACAAGGTGACAAGACGGTACAAAGTGACAAGACGGTACAAGGTGACAAGACGGTACAAGGTGACAAGACGGTACAAAGTGACAAGACGGTACAAGGTGACAAGACGGTACAAGGTGACAAGACGGTACAAAGTGACAAGACTGGCGCAAGCGACAGGGAGCAGTCACAGCAGAGCCACCCAGAGGGCGCCAGCAGCTATGAGTGACGCGCTCGCGAGCAGTGATGTTAAGCACCAGGAGGAACTTAAGCACAAGGCGTGGGCCGAGCTCATAGAGTTTTCTTTTTTAATGCAGTGCGAAGCTGAGCCTCATGTGGTGGACTCTTTTACACGGTGGAACGTGGTCATCAAGATGCCCGTGCAAAATGGAGGGATAACACAGGCAGCATGCAAGGTGTTTTAGAGTTGTCATAAACATAGATTCATTGGTACAATACGGTGATTAAGGACGTGCATTAAAGCTAACAATGTCATAGGAAGAAAACAAACGCACAGAAATCGAACGGCAATATGTAAAAGAGTCAATGGATTGGTATTACAAAAGTGAAATCATGAGTTAAAATCAATGAGGGGCTCCAGATTGATAGCAACACGTAGATTTTGATTTTCTGTAAAATGCAACAACGCGCACGTCACACTGAGCAGGTGTGTATCAGACCTCCGTTAACCGTGTGGCTGGTTGGGAATGGGAATACAGTACAAGGTGACTTACTCAAGAGCCCTGTCAGCCACCTTCTGGCCGGAGTCGATATTAGCCACGTGTGTACATGCACGATTTGTCGAAGCCTATAGAGGGTAGGGACGCTGTAAACAAACGCACCTTACACGATTGCTACAATCCCGCACGGCGTGCCCGACACGGAGTAACCTAATCGCACACCGCCGTCTGGGCTGATTCGGGAAGGACGCTCGTGGTCTGCAACAGCCAGTAACAACTGACGGGTTCGCCTCGTCCTTGCCCTGCGGGTTGAGCGTCGGAAATAGATCCGCAACGAAACCCGACCTCGCGTGGGCTCGCGGGGACGCCCAACGCTGGGCCTGGGTGCTGCTCAACGGACCGTGCCTACCTGGACGTGTGTGAAAAAGCGCCGTGAAGCTCACAGGATTCCTCCAGCGTGAATAAATATTCTTAATTCTGAAAAATATTCCGCCGGATCGCTGCCACATCTGGAGCAACGTTTGTCGCGGCCCCGCCGAGGGCTAAGTGACTGCTGCTGATGTTTCTGTTGTGCCACCACATTAAAGCAACGGTGATGGTGACGATGAAACAGCACAGCGAGCAATAGTAGATGCTATGTTCAGGTTTGTCTCACACACTTGTGAACGAAGCGACGGCAGTAGCAAATATGGCACACACTTCTTTCGTGTACTGTCTTGTGCAATACATCTTCGTTCAGGAATGTCCTATAATGCCTTCCTTATCAAACTTTACAGATTAAACAGCTCGACTTAAAGATTAATAACATGCAAAGGGAAATCATGTTTATTATATACATCTCTCTGGATTATGAAGACTATACTTCTACTTACGAACGAGTTAAGTTTCCTGAGGTCTGTTCGTAAGTCGATGTGTTCGTGAGTCCAACTTTACTTTTGTCGATTCCATACGGCATGTACACTCAACATGGGGAATGGCTTTAAACGTTGTATAATGTCCTGTAGATGCCACTGGTTCTTCATGTTCGGCAGATGTAGATGCCATTGGTTATTTATGGTCTGCAGATGTAGATGCTAGTTCCCTTTGGTGTTCGTGTTTCCTCCATACTCTTGAAAAACTTTCCAATAGATGTCTGCACAGTTGATCCTTATGGCAGTAATCCAGGGTACCAAATAATACAAAATGGCCGAGGCAATTAAATATTTTATTTCTGGGACACTATTTTTCCCAGGGGTGTAACTTCACTCCGCGACTGGGGTACCAATCAATCCGACATCAGTGCCACACTCCGCGATGTCGAAACGCCAAACGTTAACATAAAAAATCCGTTATCGAAAAATTCAACTTTGAATCGCGCATCGTGAGTACAGCTCGTCGAGATGAGTCGATTGCCACATCGCCGAACATCAACAGACTAAAAACGACTGCATCATTGACATTTTGCGAGAGCCGGGGTACTATGGGGGCCCCGGGGTACTGCCACAAGGTTTAGTTGCTCTCTTCTCTTCATAAATACTTGAGTAAACCTTTCCATGTTTGGGTCCCGAGACTCAAAACAAGCCAGTGCCTTGTTCGTATCTCTGAAAGTTAATTAGTTGATTGTTCGTAAGTAGAGGAGTCCCTGTAACTCTCTTGGTCACTATACTCTCACAAAAAGGGGGTTTCCCATTGGCGACTTATGAAACAACTTTTGACTCATATTCTTAGTTTTTTTGGTAAAGTCACGTTGAAGAGAAACAACAAAATAATAAAATATATATAAAACAATAAAAAATTATCACGACGTTTCGACCATAACTCAAACGGTCATCTTCAGGTGTGTTGGTTTGCACGACGTTTCGACCATAACTCAAACGGTCATCTTCAGGTGTGTTGGTTGGTTTCCAAACCAACACACCTGAAGATGCCACTGGCATCTACAGGACATTATACAACGTTTAAAGCCATTCCCCATGTTGAGTGTACATGCCGTATGGAATCGACAAAAGTAAAGTTGGACTCACGAACACATCGAAACGTCGTGAGAATTTTTTATTGTTTTATATATATTTTATTATTTTGTTGTTTCTCTTCAACGTGACTTTACCGAAAAAACTAAGAATATGAATTACTGCAGTCACGAAAGCTTTAAATCAAAATTTAACTTTTGACTTGCTTTATGGCGAGCATGATGCTGCTCTCTATCCTCTCTTCATGTTTTGCAAATCAACAGAACTCTCTAGAGCTGGTTACTTGCATGCCACTAATAGAGAAGTTTAGCTTGGTGGGGTAGGGAAGCCATTCCGTCTGGCTCCATCTCCTTCTCGGAGGCAGTAACACGTTATCCCCGGAGACGATAGTGAGTACAGCATTATATCTAAATTTCTCCATTGGCTTATATGGGGATGTGTAATTTGAGAACCCAAATCCATCCCACTTCTTATTAACTCAGCATCTCGCCTGGTATACATGAGTTTGTGGTTTTTATCCTGACCCTGATGCCTGTATATTTTAAGTTTGTACGTTTTTCCCATGGTCTCGTGGATGTTTCTCCGATTCCTCCAGTTTTCCCCTCCATATTTGTAAACATGCGGTGAGAGTATTGGGCTCCTGTACATTTCCACATGATGAGCCACTTTGTTGAGCTATCGTATGTGGCCAGGTCGCCTCTGAAACAGAGCTGCATAGCTCACCAGGCCTTGCCTGGTAAAAAAAAAAAAGTTAGCAAATTTCGAGTACGTCATGGCGAGGGACACAGTTCTTAAAACGGGATTGGGTATCAATGAGTTGAGTACCTTATTGCAAAAGGTACATAAAAAGGAAGGGCATAAATAATGGTGTTACTGTACTAGCGAAACGTCGTTTCCAATTGTTAAATGTTGTAAATTGATCTCCAACAGACCGGTGGTGCAGCTGAAGCAATAATGAGTTGTCACATTTGGTCAAATTGGCAGTGTCGGGTGGAGGAGGGTTTATGACTCAAGATTTGTTTGTACTGTCTGTCTGATACTGTTTAATCGATCATGTATGTTTCACGTGTACTCTTCCACGTACCATCTCATTTGTACCGTTTCGGTTGGCACTGGTACCGACTCGTCTTATTTCCTGACGACTGTGTTCGGCATCGTTTATACTTGGTCTCATTTGCATTGCCTCATTTCAACGGTCTCGTTTTTACTGCATCATTGCACCAAACCTTAGACCATGCGTGTATATATATACACACATGTATATTTATCTACACATTTGTAAAATGACTTTTTGTTTTCCAGAACATTGCGAAGAAGTATGTGCGATGGACACCAGCAAAGGGGCAACGTGTGGAGCTCAACTCTTCCTGTCCAGAGTACTGGAGTTTGGCAAGGAAGGGTGGTTTGTGGAGCTCATCAGTGCTCTCAGACAAGCAGGTGTGGTCATTAATTTAAATAGGCTTCATATATATATTTCTCCACAATCCTGGCTGTGTCGCCTGATGATGCTGGTTGTAATTACCGGCGAAATGTCGTGCTCGAAATGTAAATGTTGTGGGTTTACTCTCCAACACACAACGGGTGTGCTGTACTAGTGACGAATTGGGAACGTTCTGTTTACGTGACATACCTTACTAATTGGTTGTGTCAGATGTTGGCGGGTTTAACGACACATTGATATTTACGTGGCATAAACCCAAAAAAACAATTATGGATAGGCTATATATCTTGGTCTCTTATGTGGGTTTGGCTATTGGTGTGCCATCATCCCGCTGCTCCGGTGAGTTTGCCCGGTCACCCCAGCAGGGCCCCCTCCCAGTCTCGTGGCCCCACGGTCTTACTGCTCCCCCCCCCCCACCACCACCACCAACATGGTGCGGCAATGTGGCCCGGTGACCGTGGAATCACGCAAGCATGCGTCCCTACGTGCTTGGTGAACTGCTTTAATTTTGACTCGTAACGCACCACACAGTATTCACTCGCTCGATAGAGAGGGAACGACTCAAGAGGCTTGGGGAACCGCAGGCAAGCCGGAAGGCAGCAGCCACGCGTGTGCCAAATGCCAAGTTTCCCAAGCCGTGCGATCATATTTATATCAAGGTAGTATCGGCCAATTGAGTGTTTACATGTGTGGGAGTAAACGGGAAAAACCTAAGCGTGCAACGGGAAATCACTACATCCCGTACCGATGGAACAGGTGGGAGTCCACGTGTCTTCCATACCGCTTTCTGCTCTCATCTGCTGGTTTAACAGGGCTCTGTGTATTGTTTGGTATTTTCAAACTTTTTCCCATTTCTCTCATTTTTTCTTCACTTTATTTTTTGCGTGTTCTCGGATAGCTTGTGTCGTGTTTGCGTTTTTACTTTTCTTCCAACTTTTTGGTGCACTGTCCCGCAAAATGTCAGTTATTTAGAATTAATCCTGCCACCTGGCTAGACATGGCGGTCTTCTCCTGCCCCTCTCTTTGCGCTGCTGGCGAAGTGGCCATCGCCTGGCTCGGCAAGGCGAGTGTACGATACGTGAGACTCGCGAATCCAGAACTGGCCATCGCGAGAGTTTACTGTATGTTATAAATTATCACGTTTATTCTAATCACTTGATTAAATTATAATTGTATTTGTTATCTCGCAAGACTAGCCAGAATATCGTACAGTTTTAGTTAGGTGTGAACATTCATTGTAAACTGTTCTGATCAATTCTGAGGGTATATTTTGGGGTTCGTGGTTCAAAAACCGGCAAGCCGCCCTGGTTAAAAACTGTGGGTGTAATAACCATAGTAATAAAACGACGACGCGCCATCTGCTTCACAGTGGGCACAAACGATCCACTGACGACAATCGAAGCCAGTAGGAGGTTATTGTGTGCTGCCATCATAGTCTTAATGGTAAGGGTCCAAGTTTTGCCGAATTCGAGAAATCACACCGCAAATTACTCAATTGGGATCTTGCATAGCAACGTCGCTCCTTCCTGGCAGATTACATCCATATGTGAAACGAATTTAGTGCCTTCGTGATGGCCTTGCGCTGTAAGATTGCCGCAAATACAAAATGGACAAAGTTAATACTCTGAACATTTATAGTAATATTAAGGTATATTAGTAAAATAGTAACAGTAGAATAATCTAACTAAACATATTTAATAATTAAGATATCCATATAATAGTATATTGAAGTATATTTAAAGTAATGTAATATGAAATATAAATCATTGTATGTATAAATCTTGACTTAAAGCTTTTGTGACTGCAGGAATTCATATTCTTGGGGTCTGTCGGTGAAGCCACGTAGATAGAAAAAATGATATAAATCAAAATCACGATGTCTCGATCACAACACAAGCAATAGTCTTCAAGAGAGAGAGAGAAATCTGCCGAGGCAGGCTGTTTATAAAAGTTTAGAGATGGGCGGGGCAGCTAATGCCACAATGTCGGAGCGAGTAGGAGAGAGAAATTTGAGGAGGGAGTAGGAGAGAGAAATTTGAGGAGCGAGTAGGGGGAGAGATTTTAGGAGCGAGTAGGAGAGAGAAAGATTTGAGGAGCGAGTAGGAGAGAGAAATTTGAGGAGCGAGTAGGGGAGAGAGAGATTTGAGGAGCGAGTAGGAGAGAGAAATTTGAGGAGCGAGTAGGGAGAGAGATTTGAGGAGCGAGTAGGGGAGAGAGAGATTTGAGGAGCGAGTTGGAGAGAGAGATTTGAGGAGCGAGTAGGGAGAGAAAGATTTGAGGAACGAGTAGGAGAGAGAGAAATTTGAGGAGCGAGTAGGAGAGAGAGATTTGAGGAGCGAGTAGGAGAGAGAGATTTGAGGAGCGAGTAGGGAGAGAGAGATTTGAGGAGCGAGTCGGAGAGAGAAATTTGAGGAGCGAGTAGGAGAGAGAGAAATTTGAGGAGCGAGTAGGAGAGAGAAATTTGAGGAGCGAGTAGGAGAGAGAAATTTGAGGAGCGAGTAGGGGAGAGAGAGAGATTTGAGGAGCGAGTAGGAGAGAGAAATTTGAGGAGCGAGTAGGGAGAGAGATTTGAGGAGCGAGTAGGGGAGGGAGAGATTTGAGGAGCGAGTAGGAGAGAGAGATTTGAGGAGCGAGTAGGGAGAGAAAGATTTGAGGAACGAGTAGGAGAGAGAGAAATTTGAGGAGCGAGTAGGAGAGAGAGATTTGAGGAGCGAGTAGGAGAGAGAGATTTGAGGAGCGAGTAGGGAGAGAGAGATTTGAGGAGCGAGTCGGAGAGAGAAATTTGAGGAGCGAGTAGGAGAGAGAGAAATTTGAGGAGCGAGTAGGAGAGAGAAATTTGAGGAGCGAGTAGGAGAGAGAAATTTGCTTGTAATTGTAAGCCTCTGCGAGGGCCCGGACGACATAGTGGCAAGCCGCCATTTACGAACGCACCTAAAGGTTGGCTGTGTTAGTGAATGTAACTCAGAGAGTCAAAAATAACTGCTAACATCGGCAGGTAGGATAGGAACATCACAGCCAGTTATGACCTAAACTGGTTAATAACGTCCTTCCAATGATTGCTCAGTTTGTACCCATCTTCTCGGTTGAAATTGTGTCTGTGTCTATATATCTGGATGGCTTCATGAACCATCCTCCTGCTCGCTCCTACATTGTGCCATTAGCTGCCCCGCGACTCTCTAAACCTTTATAAACAGCCTGCCTCAGCAGATTTCCCCCTCTCTTTTTCACCTGAAGACGATTGCTTGTGTTGCGACCGAAACGTCGTGATTTTTATTTTATTATTTTTTTCTATCTACGTGGCTTTACCGACAGACCCAAAGAACATTGTATGTATGTTGAACTTCTTTCGCACTGTATGTAGCCGACCATGCTAATCGGATGTGTAGGTATATATTTCTATATATTTATATCGAACGTCTGCTATGAACTCATTTTTGAAGTATACTGCCATTTATGACATATTCATGGAGCCTTTTGACAAAACAAACGCAGTTCAGTTGATGCCTCTACACAACTTACGGTTGAAACTATGAAACTAGGCTGTATTGCGGGCACCACTGATCGAATCACGAGGATCCTAAACAAACACGATGTCGAAGTCAGGTTCGGCGCCATCAGCAGTTAGAGACTCACCATTAATCGTGGACGGTGTATAACCGAATGTTAGCCTGTGGCTGTGGTCTTCTCTATGTTAGCCTGTCTGGCAGATCAGGTTGTGACAATGATTAAACTGGTCCACAGTTGTCTTATTGTTGCCTGTCGGTCAAATATGCTCACGTTGTTTTAATGGTGACCTAAGAAAAGAGGACCACAATGCACTTCTTCAGGAAATGCTGATTTATGTTTGTTTGCATAATGCACAGAGGCTGTCTGCTATTTATACGTGTCTAGGTCTCGTTTGAAACGAAAGTTTTTCCATGCTGCTTTAAATAACCTCTTCAGATTGAGTCGGCTCGTCATTTATAGATTTAATTACGCTACTGTATTTCCCAGGTCTCTATTGAAAAACAGATGGCGAGTCTTAGTAATCCCTCACCTGCCTGTTCCCTTAATATCATAATAATCACTTACCTCAATGTGACATCCCGTTTCTCCTTTTTTATATATATGTATTTTGATTGAGGCAATGTGCGGGCACGTCATGACACACGCGTACAGACACCGTCAACACAAGCCAAGCCGGTTATGAAAAGCATAACGGGGCGGGGGGGGTCCCACCAAAGGAGGAGAGGGTAGCTTTTGACACTACGTTTCTTTTGATGCCAAGGTCCGAAGCAGTGTCTCATCAATGATTGCTAATGCTTTTTGTGTGTGTGTGTGTGCAGGATATAACACCTTGGCAGACTGCATAGACGAACAAAACTTTTTCAAACTGAATGATCTAGAGAACCAAAGAAACATCATCAGACTGCATAGAACCACCATGGAGAGTCAGCTGCTTCCACGTGATGTCGTAATGCATTTGGAGTTCCTGAGGGAGCTAGACAGGCAAGAAATCATACAGGTATACGATCGGGATATACGAGAGAAAGGTTCTACACTTTTCAGATGCGGTACAGCACTCCCCAACAAATGTTGTTGATGTCCTGTCATGATTACACAGCGCCACTTATTTACTAACAGATCACGATCGACGTGTACGTTTTGATTGAACGTTGGCGTTTTAATGGACTTTCGTCAATTTGCGTCTTTATTTGATCTGTGTCCAAACAGGAAACCGTTAGTTATGGGGACATCCGTGGCACAACAAAACTTATTGATCACGTGCTGCGATCTGACGAGCAAGATTTGTTGAAACAGTTCAAGTCAGCCATCATCAAAGCTGGCACTGGAGAGATAGCCGATCTTCTTGAAGGTACCGTTGCATTTGCAGTGAATAATGGATTTAATTGTCTTCGTTTTGGCCACAATTATGTGGACAATCTTAAATGGTTTTATTAATTGTTGGAACTGTTTAGCAAAGACTGTTTGTGATTCCCAAATGCCATGCGAATAACAATTTGGCGCAAAGTTACGCAAGGGTGGACCACCCCACGGTAGGATGTCTCATCAGTTCATCTCAAATCGATGACCACACATTGGGACCTTAATGGTTTGCATGTGACGGTGTGTTTTGCACAATGATGTACCTGTGAAGTGTCAGCATTCCATGAGGGTTTTGTGAAATCGTGGGATTTCGTTTTCAGTACAACCCAGAGTGGATCCTATTGGATTATCCAGTCAATCAGTGACGCGGCTATGAACTTTGGTGCTTAGGGGAACCCACTCCTGCACTCTTTCCAGTCCTTTGGGTGGTGTTTGGCCCTAATTCCGTTTGGATCCAACGCTTGAAGTTTTTCTTCCACAACCTCAAACTACATCCCCATAGGTCTGCCTCAGTTCCTTATGCTAAGTGGTATCCATTATAATTTTCCTTTCACAGTCGTATGCCTAGTCATGCTGTAGAAAAATATCGCACCCCGGGTTACTCTGTGCAGACGTTCAGGCCGAGATGGAATCCCCAATACACAGTCTCTTCCAACAAGGCCCGACTAGGCAGAACACTTATCAAGGCACGTGATGAAACAAAATACACTGCAATAAGGCCACGTGGTAAATGTTAAGAGGTTACAGAACTTTGTGAAACTGATCCCTGTGCTACAAGTATCTTCACTTGGTCTTCATCTTGCAGTCATCAGCGCTGACCCCACAGCCCCAAAACCTCCATCCCCCCTTTCCTACATTTTCCTTCACCCCACTTTTCCTCCAGACCCTTCCGTGCTTGTCCTCTTTCACCGACATTCCCATTACCGCTGCTTTCCCTCCACGTGTTATGCTGTGCGCGTACAGTACGGTATTGCATCGCAAAATAGTCAGTTTTCAACGCGGTACATTTGCAGTTTAAATAATTGTGCAAAAAATGTGCATTTTCTTAAAGAACGCATATGCAAAACTTGTAAAGAATATGTTCCCTAATTCATCATCAATGTGTATGCGCAACAACTCAATGTGATAACTTGCAGCGGGGGATTGCAGTACATTGCAACAATATTGGTATTATTGTATGAATCAGGAGTACAATCGTATCTGAACACATCAATTACATTTTTTACTTAACAGGGAAAGAACTCTATCATGATGAAGATGTTCAAAATGAATCTTTACAGTACACGGTGGACTTTGAGAAGCAAGATTGTGGAGCTGTAGACCATTGTAATGAATCATCCCAAAAGAACGTTGATGACCAAGGTAAATTCATGGTTGCAAAAACATATTGTTGTTCATTACACAAAATAAACAGCGTTGTTGCGGATTAAATAAAATGACGAAGCAGATAAGCAGACACTATGTCTCCTTCAAGTATCCGTATCTCCACACCAAAAATAAAAGTATTTCTAAGACAACACATTGACCCAACGGCCTTATGGGAATGCATAATGTTTGAAGTACAGTGAGGGGAAAAAAGTATTTGATCGCCTGCTGATTTTATACGTTTGCCCACTGACAAAGAAATGATCAGTCTATAATTTTAATGGTAGGTTTATTTGAACAGTGAGAGACAGAATAACAACAAAAAAATCCAGAAAAACGCGTGTCAAAAATGTTATAAATTGATTTGCATTTTAATGAGGGAAATAAGTATTTGACCCCCTCTCAATCAGAAAGATTTCTGGCTCCCAGGTGTATTTTATACAGGTAACGAGCTGAGATTAGGAGCACACTCTTAAAGGGAGTGCTCCTAATCTCAGCTTTTTACCGGTATAAAAGACACCTGTCCACAGAAGCAATCAATCAATCAGATTACAAACTCTACACAATGGCCAAGACCAAAGAGCTCTCCAAGGTTGTCAGAGACAAGATTGTAGACCTACACAAGGCTGGAATGGGCTACAAGACCATTGCCAAGCAGCTTGGTGAGAAGGTGACAACAGTTGGTGCAATTATTCGCAAATGGAAGAAACACAAAAGAACTGTCAATCTCCCTCGGCCTGGGGCTCCATGCAAGATCTCACCTCGTGGAGTTGCAATGATCATGAGAACGGTGAGGAATCAGCCCAGAACTACACGGGAGGATATTTATTGTCAATGATCTCAAGGCAGCTGGGACCATAGTCACCAAGAAAACAATTGGTAACACACTACGCAGTGAAGGACTGAAATCCTGCAGCGCCCGCAAGGTCCCCCTGCTCAAGAAAGCACATATACATGCCGGTCTGAAGTTTGCCAATGAACATCTGAATGATTCAGAGGACAACTGGGTGAAAGTGTTGTGGTCAGATGAGACCAAAATGGAGCTCTTTGGAATGCTGCCTATGACCCCAAGAACACCATCCCCACCGTCAAACATGGAGGTGGAAACATTATGCTTTGGGGGTGTTTTTTTGCTAAGGGGACAGGACAACTTCACCGCATCAAAGGGACGATGGACGGGGCCATGTCCCATCAAATCTTGGGTGAGAACCTCCTTCCCTCAGCCAGGGCATTGAAAATGGGTCGTGGATGGGTATTCCAGCATGACAATGACCCAAAACACACGGCCAAGGCAACAAAGGAGTGGCTCAAGAAGAAGCACATTAAGGTCCTGGAGTGGCCTAGCCAATCTCCAGACCTTAATCCCATAGAAAATCTGTGGAGGGAGCTGAAGGTTCGAGTTGCCAAACGTCAGCCTCGAAACCTTAATGACTTGGAGAAGATCTGCAAAGAGGAGTGGGACAAAATCCCTCCTGAGATGTGTGCAAACCTGGTGGCCAACTACAAGAAACTTCTGACCTCTGTGATTGCCAACAAGGGTTTTGCCACCAAGTACTAAGTCATGTTTTGCACAGAGGTCAAATACTTATTTCCCTCATTAAAATGCAAATCAATTTTTGACATGCGTTTTTCTGGATTTCTTTTGTTGTTATTCTGTCTCTCACTGTTCAAATAAACCTACCAATAAATTATAGAGTAATGATCATTTATTTGTCAGTGGGCAAAACGTACAAAATCAGCAGGGGATCAAATACTTGTTTCCCTCACTGTAAGTCTGACTGCTGATGAGTCACTGTAAAAACACCGCTCGGAGTTTGCTTGCATTTTAGTGCTGCTGAAATGAAGCAACTCCAAGAAGGGCCCCGTTGGGTTCATGGGTTTGTGTAGGAAATATTTACCTCGTGGAGAACAAAGCGTATTAGCCACTTATCGATAATGTAGTGCAATTCATGTTTTTCTACGACGCAAGATATTTTGGGATGGACTTACTTATGGTCCTTCCCTTTGGATTATTAAATAAATCACCGTAAGCAACTGGAGCATGGAATCGGCAAGTTTAAGGTTCATTATTGGTAGGCCACAAATTGTACCCCATAGGGAGAAAGCTGGAACCATGCCACGTGATACTGGTAAAGGTGAGTGGAGGCGTTTTATGAAGATATCGATTACAAAAGGTTATTTATACATCCCAGGCATCGAGCCATATTTTCAGATGAAGAGGAGGAAGTTCCAGATGTCGCACTTGATGGTGTAAACTCTGCTTTTTCACGGGAATTACGAAAGGGAGAAACTACTGATCCAGATGAACTGGGAGATGTCAAGGGAGTTGAATCAGTTGTTGGAACAAGATGAGCCAACCTATGAATTCATGTTGACACACATTAAATAGTTCAATCATTCAGCAATGCTTCATTTCTGCTTATATCAAAACCAACAGTGGAACATATAAATGTATTCAATGATAACCATCCTGGATTTGCTGACGGTATAGTTCATTACAAAATGGCCAGTGCCAATTAACACTTGGAATTATTTAATGAAGATAGCCAGCAAAAGAGTTGGGCTCAAGATAAACGTGAGAAAGCGAAGAGTCGCGTACAAGTTTTTCGAGATGAATTGGGGATACTTGTCAGAGGTACTTGCAGGCCAGCATCAGCTCTAATGAGAAACATGAATTTTGATTTAAAGCTTTCGTGACTGCAGGGATTCATATTATTGGTTATTTCGGTAAAGTCACGTAGAAGGGAAACAATAAAATAAAAATATCAAACAATAAAAAATTCTCACGACGTTTCGACAGCAAGAAAATTTGAAAATTTTGACTTTCAAATTTTTCTTGCTGTGGTTTTCTCATACCTGATGATGATTGCTTGTGTCGCAGTCGAAACATCGTGATAATTTTTATTGTTTGGTATTTTTATTATTTTATTGTTTCCCTTTCTACGTGACTTTATCGAAAGAACCAAGAATATGAGAAACATGAAGTTTATATTCTTGTGTACAGTGGCGACAAGTTCCGGAGCTAGAACCAATGTCGAGGTCTGCTGACCCCAACGAGAGGGCCTCAGGAGAGAGTTCGTTGTGGCTTTGCTACGTCTCCTCTTCATAATAATTCATAATAAAGGTTTTTGGGTTAGATCGCGTTATTTATAAATGTGTCGTAACCCTCCACCACCCGACACGGCCAATCAGCAAAAAAAAAGTGTCACGTTGACAAAAGACAAATAGTTCACTACTTTAGCCCACCGGTGTGTTGAAGAGTGAATCCACAACATTTACAGTTTGAGTACGACGTTTCGCTGGTGATTACATCCAGCATCATCGGGCAATTCGCCAGAATGGTAAAGCCCTCACTTGCTCCCGGTCTTAAATAGAGCAGCATGGTGACGTCATTATTTAACTCATTCAGGTGCAGTGATTTTAGGCGGGGGGGGGGGGGGGGGGGGGGGGGGGGGGGGGGGGTGTATTGTAATTATATAATCGATTGGTAATCAGTCAATGGTTATGATTAGTAATGAGTTGTAGATTAGAAATCAGTTGTAATGTGTGTGTTATTGTGATTATATGCTACGTTAGTAATCCGTTAATTAGTATGTGTTTCCCCTATAAGGAATTGTAATATGTATTATTATTTAATATCTTCACCTACGTGTATGTCTCCTCTGTTGAAGGAACGCAGATGGCGGTGCTTTACTATGCTTTGGGTTGCATGGCCACGGTCACACTGTGGCTTGTCTTTGACTTGCCATTCATGAAGTAGATGAAGAAGTTGTGAGAGAAGGATGGGAGTGCATTAAGTGGAGGAAAATGGTTAATCCGTGGGCATGTTCAGTTTTCACGTGTGAACGGTGCCAATTGAAAACTCCTTCGATAATTTTTTCTTTTTACAGAATGTGCACTCGCACAACCAGCGGAACAGGGGACGTCAATTGATGAGCCGAAGTCTGTGAAGTGTGGAAACGTATCGCTACGACAGTACCAGGCTGAACTCGCGGAGTCTGCTCTTAAGGGAGAAAACTCCATCATTGTTGCCCCTACAGGTGAGCAAGCCCGCAAGCCTCTGGGCGATATGCTTGCCAGAGCTAGGAATTTTTTTTTATCAGGGGTTCTTAAAAAGTCACGCCGCTGTAGGTTTATTCTCAGAAATGATGGGCTCCACGTACGCGAGGCGCTGGTGGCTGTGCACGTGGCCTGTAATCCAGCACTGGAAGAGGGCGAGGGTTGGTGGATTGCAGAAATGTGAAACCCCTCCCGTGGACGTCGAGGACTCCACCTGTTCCATCTGTACGGGGGGGTAGTGTTTCCCCCCCCCCGCACGCGGGAGCTTTCTCAGGTGTGCTCCGGTTTTCTCCCAAACTCATTAATTGGCGGTTAACACCTTCATATGCAGTGGACCGCAGAGCCTGGGCGGTTGTTGGTAGTGCCGGCTCATCATGTGGCTGCTGCCTTCCCCGCTTGTCTGCGGTTCTTCTTCGTGCCTCTCGAGTCGTTGTCTCGATGAGAGCGAGTTGATATGCGGCGGCGGCGGCGCGTTACAAATACAAATTATTATTACCTACAGCGGCGTTACGAGTAATGGGCGACTTTGCGCTGAATTATACAGTTCCTATCACATGGTAACCGGCGCTGCGGTCACAGGCGATGTGGCTGAAGGTGGCACTCATTTTCAGCAACCCTTTGTAGCGTTGAGAATGGTAGGCTTTTTATTGAAGTCTTGAGCTTCTCATTTGGTGAATGTCCTAAGGTAAAATGTTATTTCAATCAAATAGTGAATATTTTTTTTTTCTCTTTATCTTCGCACAGACAGTGGCAAGACGTTTGTGGCTTTAGCGATCTGTGACGAGCACCTGAGGCAACGCTCCGGAAAAGGCCCGAAGGTGATCTTTCTGGCACCCACACTGCCTGTGTTCCAACAACAATACGAACGCTTCCGCAAGCACTATCAGGACGAGAGGTATGTGTGCACACAATCGCGCACGAAAATGTCCCATTTTTACCCTTAGACCCACGTGGGATAATTGCCGTTCGCAAGTGATGTGTGTCCAGTATGGCTGAAGCCAGCACATAATAACCATTCTAAATGTTTGTCCCGCTATCAGTCGTAACAAATGAATATCAAATGCTAGTGCACGTGGCCTTTTTTGCCGATCGTGAAAAAAAAAAACAATCGTTTTTAGTGGAAATCGAAGTGGTCATCCAAAGCTCTCATAACCAAGGTATTCATACTCTTTGGGTTATTTCGGTAAAGTGACGTAGAGTATAAAACTAAATAAATTAAATCACGACGTTTCAGGCGCAACACAAGCGTCCGCCATCAGGTGGGACAACCACAGCAGGAAACAACTGCTGAAGTGGGCAGAAGGACTGCCGTGACACGAGGCTATGTATAGGCAAGAGAGCGGGGGGGAGAGGCCAGGGAGGATATTGCATGTCAGGAATGACATCCTTCACAGATGGGATTAGATCACGGAATTTTGTGTACTGTACTGAATCGGACCTGGATGGATTTGAGTAACCAGGCAAAAACCTTAAATGCTTTATGGTGTTGCCTTCATATCCGCATCTCATTTTGCTTTACCTCAGCTCTCCCACTCCCAGCCCCGCCAACTTCCCCTCCCCACCCCCCCCCCCCCCCCCCCCGACAAATCCCTTTAATCCCTTCTAGCTGCTCTTCACTTGGCGGCTCTCCCTCCCCCCCCTTTCTGTCTCTCCTCCCTGGCCCCGCCCCCAAAGAGTGTGGATCTCTGCAGTCACGAAAACTTAAAAATCTAGATTGAACCAATGTATTAATTAATTATGTGTGGACATCATCTGCTATTTTGAGATTACATAGAGTGATCAAGCATACATAATAAGAGCCGTTCGGAAAGGAGAGAGTGTCTCACCGAAGTTAAAGTATTGATAGCCATTGTGACCACTGATAAAAGTGCGGGTGATGGTGATGGAAGCAGTGGGGTAGGTTTGGGGGATGATGTAAATGAGGATGATGTTGCAGGGCGATGAGGGTAAAAGTGGTAATGAGATGCAGGCACTGTGAGATGGGGTGATGATGTGATGAATGGAAGTCGTATAATTGGTGTAAAGAGTTGCGGGTGCACTGCATGGCAGTTACAGTTTGGATAAAATTGGGGTTATGAGAGGTGAAGAAAAGTGGGAGAAGTTCGTGTAAATGTTGCAGGAGTAAACTATAAACTATTTAAAAAAATATTTATTTTCCCGGGTGTAAGCCCCACTGAACTGTGTAGCTCTACTCTTTGGTTCTATTCGGTAAAGCCACGTAGGTAAACAATAAAACAACAAAAATCACGACGTTTCGGCCACAACACAAGCGGCCTTCATCACTGAAGGCCTTCATCGCTGAAGGCCGCTTGTGTTGTGGCCGAAACGTCGTGATTTTTGTTGTTTTATTTTTTACAACACAAGTGGCCGAAACGTCGTGATTTTTGTTGTTTTATTTTTTACCTACGTGACTTTACCGTAATAGAACCAAAGAGTATGGATCCTTGCAGTCACGAAAGCTTCAAATCTAGAGCTATGTAGCTCTTTTTCAGAAGCGACCTGGCCACAAATGATGGCTCAGCGAAGTGGCTCATCACGTGGAAATCTGTCACCGCAGCCAGATACTCTGGAACACGTGATGTTGATTCTAAACGTGGAGGGTGAAAAAAACGGAGGACCCGGCGAAGAATCCACGCGACCACGGGGAGAGAGAGACACGCAAACTCCAATTATATAGCAGGCACCAAGGTCGGGATCGAATTCACGAACTCCGGCATGCCGGGCAAGGCAGTTAACATCTCCTATCTACCGCAGGAGTAGTTTGGCTGAGGGGGGGGGGGGGGGGGATTGGGGTGAAGGGGTGCACGGGCGGGGGGGGGGCGGTGGTGTCCGTTTGTGTTAATTTGTGGTAAATTTCCACAATCTTCCATCTTTTGTCATCCTGTTTAAGCGCCTCGTGTGAATCCCCTTTCGACGTCCCTCAACGTTTCAGCAACAGGGTGTCCGTGGGCCGCGTGGCTGGAGGAGCCGAAACCCCCGAGCCCCTAGATCTGCAGCTGAAGAACAATGACGTTCTGATCATGACACCGCAGACCCTGCTCAATGGGCTCGAGAAAAATAATGTTTGCGCCATCGTGGATTTCAGCCTCATCATCTTCGACGAGTGCCACCATACCTGTAAAAACCACCCCTACAACGTCATCATGCAGCATTACCTCGGCGTCAAACATGGACCCAGTGCTCCACCACTGCCACAGGTACGCATATGTGCGCGCGTACGGACAGCGTTACATCTCGGTTGAAGTAGGATGTTTTTAAACAGGCGGTTTCAATCTGGAAAGGTGTTCCATCAGGGGTGGGACCGTCAGGGCCAGCAAGGCCTTCTCTGCTGGCCTAGAGATTGTCAGAATCAGAAAATTTAGACTTTTATAAATTAATACGTATTTTAATTAATTCTATACGTATTTTGCAAGGTTCGTTCCCATTAGTATATTAACGTCATTTCATTGCTACTCTCTCCCTCAGCTGCGCTGCTTCCAGTGCAGCTAATAAATTAGAGCTTTTATCCAATCAGATTTTCCACCTGTGCTGTCTCCGCCTCTCCGGGTGAAAAATCTACCCTGAGGCCTTCAGAATGTCGAGTGAATCCCGTCTGCTGTTGAAGCAAATGGGGACGATGTTGTTGCTTGTCATATTCTTTAACCAATCAGATTTCGAGTTTGCCATGGTGGGCGTATTCTTTGACACGCCGGAGCCTTCTAGCTGGCCTAGCCGCCTACGTCAGCCTTGTTCATGTGGCGTGATCGGAGGGCCAGTTAGCTAACTAAAGTAAAACTAGCTAGCACGTAATGTAGCATCATCTAAGATTCATTTAAACTTTATTTCGTGACGTTTAGATTTTTTGATGTAGTGCTTTAGATTTTTTTTTTCTGTGGCGAAGCCTGTTGAATCCTGATTGTGTTATTTGTGTTTTGCGCCTTTTTCGCTTGCTCGGTGGTCGTATGTGTAAATGTGACTGGTTGTTGTGAGTTTGTTATTACATCTTTAGTAATTACATTGATTTGGGCTATGCGAATATGGGGCGGTTACGTCGAATGACAATAGCCTATGGCCCTAGTGTCATGGTGAGGTTATTCGAAGGCGGTTTAATTGCGAGAGGATAGCACTGAAGGCCTAGGTGTAAAATACACGGCCCGCCACTGTATTCCACAAACGGTTAACACCTGCTGATTCGGCTTTAACCTTTCTGGCATAAATGCAGCTGTCAAGATCCACAATACAGGTGTTTTTTTTAAGTATTATGGATGATATTGGTCGCGAGAACCTACGTGTTAAACGGAGCTGTCAAGTTGTTCCAACGCCAAAAAGACACCTATTGCAAAGCATTAAGTCGATATTATCCACACATACTTGTGGTAAAATAGGGTGACTTTGGTGGCTGAACTTCTTAACAGTTGTATTTACGCCAGAAAGGGTAAAGCTTTTTATTTTGTATTTTCTTAATACTGGCACACATAGATGTTACCTGCTGATTTGTAGTTTTTACTTAAGGTTATAGGCCGCGATTCTAGTCTTTGTTGAAAGGCAACTCTTGCTATTTGGCAGAAAATAAATGGTGGTGATCACGCCAAGGTTTGACTTTTTTTTTCTCTCTCCAAATTTAAACTTTCCAGCTCCTCTAGATCATCATTATAATGCGCACCATTTACACACTCAATCTGCCACTCATTATTGTCGTCATGGTAAGGTGTAATGTATAGTATTTTAAAACACAATTTCCTTTTATTTCCCCTTTCACAGATCGTGGGCCTTACAGCCTCTGTCGGAGTTGGAGAAAATAAGAGCTTGCAAGGGGCAATTGATCATGTCTTAATGCTGTGTGCCAACATGGATTCCTGTGTCATATCCACCGTTCAGAGGAACCTCTCAGAGCTTGCTCAGTTTGTGCCCATAGCACAGCACAGTACGTGGGCTTCACCATGCAACCTCATTCACACCCATCTTCTTGTGTGTGGCTGATGTAGATGCAAAGCAAAAACTGCGATGTCACATTCAGGTGGTCAAGCCCAGATAACCGCATCAGGAGCAGCGGAGTAGCGTATCGTTGCCCTGGTGATGTCTCCTTCGTGTTTGTGGGATCGGTATGCGTTGTACCGTCTTCCGGATGATCGCGGTCGCGCACCGAGAGACTGTTTAATTTTCCATTTGTGCATCAGGTATCCGCATGTAGGTTCAGTACTACAGGGCCTTCTTGGCCGTAGTGACAGAATTTTAAAAAAGCGTCAACGTTGTCCACGTTTGGTAATTTGAACAATGGAAGAATGCAAAGTGGTGACGTCGCTGAGAAAGCATTCAACGAAAGTAACCAACTTCAAGGCGAACGTGCAGTGACCGACATTACACCCCCTGCATCGTACCATAATGTCGACATGCATTCCCTTCCCAAGCGGTTTTGCGTAGTCCAATCGGGAAAAAAAAAATTAGGTACTCAATCAATTAAAACGAAATTTTACTAAATGTATCTACGAAGGAGCTATGAACAGCATATATGGCAGACTTTGTAAAGTTTCGTTGCTATGAAGCATTACGGTTAGCAGTTTTACTATTCCTGCGTTTTTCGTAAGCCCCGAGGGAACAGCCCTCAAATCATGAGCGTCTATAAAACAGTTTTTTGTGCACAAACTAAAGATGCATTTAACATTTCAAACGGGTGTTTTTTTTTACCTCTGCACATTTAGCCTTTAAAAGCTGGTGATGAGATCAGGTGGCAATGCACATACAGTGCATGCTGATGGGCGAGTAAGACAGAGTATGGGTTGACAGGTACTAGAGAGTGTTTTCACAGGAAACGTCTCATCTTTCGTACCCGGTTACGGGTTTACTCTCTCGGCGCAGATATCCTACAGGTTGGGAGACGTCGTGCTGACCCATTTGCAGACATCATCAAAGATATTATGGCCAAAGTGGAAGACCTCTTACTTTCCCTGAACTTACCAGGTGAGCGTTCATGCCTTCTTCATTCAGTGTTCAGTGACCAGTTGAATAAAAAGCTTTAAGTGATTCTTTTTCTCCCCCCCGCTAAAATTCAATGAAAGACAAACCTCCCCCGTACCTTGTCCTTCCTCCGCACCTCCGATTAGCACGGTTGGCTACGTACGGTGCGAATGAAGCTCAACATACACACATAACTACAAACTAAGTGTAAAATTCTACCCAAGGTGTAGTTTTTACCAACACTGGGGCACACAGTGCTCAGCAGTTGAGCATGCCAGGCGGTCGCCTCCCCCCACCTCGCAGCAGATTATTTGAGGTTAATCCTTTGCTTAGTTTTTTTGCCAGGAACCTTGCCGCAGAAGGTCACATTGAGTGTGGCGTTGGCGCTGTTGTTGTGGAGACGAAATGCCAAGACAATCAATTTACTTGGGTTCGGTCTGAGTCGATATTTCGTGAAATACTCTGACATGATGTTTGAGGTCACAGTTGAGAGTAGCTCCACCTCACCACGGCTGTGGGGTTGTGTAGGAGGGGGGGGGGGGGAGATTGTCCACGCACATGAACTTGCAGGAGATATCTATGGCATATTATTCGTGTACAGGTTGCATAGTGTCAAAGTGAACAAATCACTCTGGAGATGCCAATTATTGAGAGTGAGGGGTAATAATAAAACCTGTTTGGCCAGATCCACATGCACTCTTCACTTGTTGAGCAGGTTACGGGTCAGCAGCAGCAGCGTTTGGGCGTATGGCAGGATTCTGGATAGCTTCAGCATTACATTTTGATACCAAGCCGAATCATAGGTCAAAGACAGATCAATAAATGTGACATTGGTCTTGATATTTCTTTCGAATCCGCCTTTGATGTTCATTGTACTGGCCAGGACTTCATCACGGACAATTATTTGTGGCCTGATCCTGGCTTGTTTATTTGGGAGGATGGCTTCCATGATGGGGCTGATTCTTCTCACTCCATTGTCTCTCCGGTTAATCTGACATCCCACATCTTGAACACCAATACCACCTGTTGAAAACTCATTATATCAGCAAAACTTTATTTTTTACACATTGCACTGTTCACTTCGACGTTGCTTAAATTTTTCTGCCAAGAATTCCTAGCGTCCTCCGAGCTGAATTTGTGAAAGGTATTTCCACCATTGACCACATAAATATATATATTATCAGTTCGGTTCTAGAATATATTCAAATGTATCATATAGCTTTATGCATAGATTTTCTTGATTATTTAATACGATTTTCTCGTGGAAAATTATACATTTTAGCCTTCTTGTACTCTTACACCAATGCCTTGAGATAAAATGTGTTGTATTTATCAAATCCATACTCTTTGGTTACGCCCATCCCCAAACCTTTATAAGCAGTTTTTCCTTTAGAGGCCGACTTCTGTGCCTGATGACGGCCGCTCGTGTTGCGATCGAAACGTCGTGATTTGTTTTATTTTATTTTATTTCTACCCACGTGGTGACTTTACCGAAAGAACCAAAGAGCACGGATCCCTGCAGTCGCGAAAGCCTCAAATCAAGACGATCAAATCCTATTATAAATGGCCACATGGTTTGCGTTAAGAGAGCGACGACATTGCATGAAGAGAACAGCAAGATAGAGATATGAAGAGCGGTCACGCAGGCGGATTTCCTCACCGAAGATATTTCGAGTACACGTTAGAATAGCAGATAGATAGATTATTTTTTTTAAGCGTTTGAGCAGAGGGATAAAGACTTGGGACAAGTAACCTGCGGGAGGTTCAGCCGGATGTTTTGTTGACACGGCCTTTATTTCAACGAGCGGTGAAAACAAATACATTATTGAAGAACGTCATTAATGGGGCTGCAAAGATGGACTCGCGGCCCGATAAGCAGATTTATGTTATCAGCAAGGTTATTCAAACCTCCACCCGCCTAGCTGCATTGACTTACTCTTCCCTCCAGATTAAACAGTTGTCAGCTGCTACGGTAAAACCTTGTGGATTGCGAGTAACCTGGTATGCATGCGAGTGTTTTGCAAGACGAGCAAACATTTTAAATAAATATAAATTTGATAAACGAGCGAGGGTCTTGCAATACGAGCAGCAGCACCTGTACGCTTTGTCGGGCTGAGCGTCACGTGATCACAGCTGATATGCGACGAGTGCTTTGATAAACGAGTGCTTTGGATTGCAAACACGTTTCCGGGACGAATTATGCTCGCAATCCAAGGTTTTACTGTATTTTTACAGCCAAGACCTGCCATTAATCCCCGTGTCAATGAAATGTGATTCCGATAGGTAGGACGTTAATCCCATTCGCCCCTTCTCGACCCAGATTCGGTGCCCGAGTTGAAGAAAGAAAAGGAACGTGGCACGCAGCAGTATGAGCAGTGGGTGATAAAAGTGCAGAGGGAGGGGAGCATGATCTCCATTCCGGACAAGGAGCTTGAGCAGAAATTGTGTTGGTCCATCTTCTCGTGCACAAGCCACCTCCGGGTAAGACTCGAGCTGAGAGCCCAGCAAAGAATCGGTGTAATCTTTTCTTCACTCGTCTTTATATAAGCGGGCCCCGCTATCTCGCACTTTTGGCCGTGAACTTGCTGAGCTCACGGTTGGGGGGGGTGGGGGGGGTGGGGGGGGCGGGTGACGTTAAATCGATATTAAAAGTTCGACAGTACTCTTGCTTTGCATTCCGCCGCGGCTCTGTGTTACGTGGTTCCAACCTCTCTCGGGCACCTGCCACTGCACATTGGGACCCTCGGATGAAATGCGCCTTGCAAATGTCAATTATTATTAGCTTCCAGGGGACGGCGTTGAGCCCTGGCAGCGCCCACATCATTCCTGCGCTGGCAGGGACTGAACTTTGATTGCCACCGGTTCACTACTCGCTTCACAGATGCAGCACGCCTCACTCTCCCTACCTCTAAACCCCTCCCACGTGGCTCTCTGCCTGTGTAGCAACTGCAACGTGGTCACTTCGCGTTACCACTCAGCCCAGACACACAGCACGCCTCACTCTCCCTACCTCTAAACCCCTCCCACGTGGCTTTCCGTATACAGTACTAGCTTTACTACTCGGCTTCGCCCGGGACTTGGATTAACCACGCCCGGCCGCCTTTGTCTCCCCAGTGGCGATGTTCGCACACCACAGCAGTTACTCGTTTGAGGCTGAGTCGACCTAGGGGAGGCCCAGGACCGGTTCAAATAATCGTCACCGGTGGCGGCCGTGAGCGGGAATTGAACTCGGGTCGCCGGGTTCGTAGCGCGACGCGCGAATCGCTACGCAGTCGCGGGTCACATGACAGATGCGACGTCACAGCTCACTTGCCGTGCAAAAAATATAAATGCATTATTGCGCCCCCCCCCCCCCCCAAAAAAAATAGAAAAGTTTATTTTTATAATTTTTGCATGGTGTACAGTCTGGAAAGTACCCACATGGTAAATTTCAAGTTTGTTGCATTTCGGGAAGTACGCTAAACATTTTTTAACAGACACGCATATTCACAAATTTCCCTTTTATATATCGAGATGAAACAGCATTTAATGGAGCGTTTTACTATCGTAAGGAAAAAAAGTTGTTAATATATTAGAAGGGACGGAAGGTTGCTTGCTACGCCTCTGCTCTAAGCCCATCACGACCCAGGCCTGTCCACGCTACTACTCCTCTCTTTGTTGTCATCCCTTTGTTCATCTGCACTGTTTATCACGAACTTTACCGCACCTGTTACACTCGTTCTATATGGGGTGATGCAACCCCGTGTGTACCTGCAATTACGTACTGAACAGAACATTTCGGTGTCTGACTCTTGACCAATTGCTTCATGAGGTATCTGGCAGGACCTCCATTGATACATTAGACTACAGTTTACAACATATGGAGAGAGTTCAATCTCTATTGAACACTCAACATACATACACACTGCTATACACGACATACTACACTATACACTACTCTATACTACACTACTATACACTACACTATATACTACATTTGTTGGCCTTCCCCCCGCACCTCCGATTAGCACGGTTGGCTACGTAGTGCGCATAAGAAGTTCAACAACGTACATGCACAAGTTCAACGTACATACAAAGAGATTGATACAAAACAGAGAGATGGAGAGGGAAGCTGTTAACCAGAGGAACAGAAATTGTTAAACAGAAACAAAACAGATATATACACAGTAAAACAGAGAGTCAGCAACTATGAAACACTGAAACGGTGAACACACAGAGGACACTAAAACATCAACACAAAAGCCGAGGCAGAAATTTCTGAGCTTTCTTTCGGAGTGTGGCATTACTGAACGTTCCTTTCTGCCCGTTCCCCCGTTGAACTTACGCAACTGTCTGCCAGGCAAATGGATCGGAGGCTAGATGTCAAACAATTCCCAGGCTGGGGCAGGATATGGGAATTCTGCCAAGATAATTTTTCAAGGAATTATCCATCGCCCTGATTGGGCCTCGTTCCCATACACATTCTACACCCAAGGTGAGCGTGCCGGATGGTCCTGTGAATCGGACGGAAAGGTCGCATCGATTGCACCAACTTGTGGTTCAGGTTTCAGGTGGATTTGCTTGCAAGCCTAATGAACAGGCCTTAAACCTCTCCGGCAAATAATTTCCCCTGATACCCAGCTTCTTCAGATTCCTGACTACAATATATCCTTTTGTGAGAAAAAAATCAATACAATTCTTATACATCTTCTTTTGAGAATTTGTCCCGCTTTCCGAGCCCTCTCTCTCTTTCCACGGTCTTTAATACATCGCCATCCTCACGGTAATGCCATCGCACGCTCTCCTATCCTCACTGACAACTTCTCGCCATGCCTTCTTGGGTCTCTCCCCCTCTTTCTCTTTCCCTCGTTTGTCATGGCTCTGAACTTTCCAACGCAGCCATCCGCACGTCCAAGCCCTCACCAAGTCTATTCTCGCTCAAATTCTCCTCTGCTGACGATGCTCCCTGTATTATGGATGCTTCCCTCACTCGTCCGTATCATCTTTTAGTTTCTCACGCGATCTCTTCCACTCCCTCCACAAATCCACCTCGGCATTCTCATCTCCGTTAACCTCATGGTGTGTTCCAGACGCTCATTAGCACCCAGCACTCCGGGCCATACGTTAACGCTCTTTCCTCGCCGATTAATTGCCGACGGCACCCAAATATTTTTCTCCTTTCCCTCTTTCAACCCTGACATTTCCTGCCGCATCTCCTCCACCCTGCCTGACTGCCATCCAATCCTGGATGGCGCTTCGCTCTCTCGATCCGTCCAAAACATTATTTTTGTTCCAGCCTCCCTCTCTCCCCCTCCCATCCTCACCATCTCCTTGCCTCCTCTCTCCCTCGCTCCAGGTTCCTCTGCCCTCAACCTTGGATGTCACCTTTGACTCTTGGCTCATTTTTTTTCTACCCACATATCCGCGGCTATTCGCATCTGTCACTTTCATCTATTCAATATCAGGAAAATCCCACCTCTCATTTAACTTTCTGCCACCAAAACTCCTGGTTCATGCTCTGATCTTGACCCGGTCTGTACTACTGCAGTGCTCTTCTATTCGGTCTCCCTGCCTATGCACACTCACTTCCCTGCCAACAAATTCAAAATACCCCCGCGTGGATTATTTTATGTCCCCCGTTTAATTCTCACATTTCGCCTCCTCGCCATCAACTTGGCTGGCTCCCCGTTTACTATCGCTGCCTCTCTCTCTGTCTATTGTCATGTCCCCCCCAGTGCCCTTCGTTCACAGTCTTCTCTCTAGTAATAATAGGGGTTTTTCCCCTTTTTTCTGGCAACAAAACTGAAACCTTTTTGCAAGGAATCATGTGTGCATTAACCACAATAACTTGTGGTCAAAATGCAAACAAAAAACACACTGATAATATATGCATTGTCCTTGCAACTGCTTGGTCCATATATTATCAGAGTGTTTTTTGTTTGCATTGCCGAGTCTATGGGCGGTGCCGAGTCGATGGACGGTGCCGAGTCGATGGACGGTGCCGAGTTTATGGACAGTGCCGAGTCTATGGACGGTGCCGAGTCTATGGGCGGTGCTGCTCAATGTACAGGGGAAGTTGCTTCTCCCGTGGTAGGTGCGCAAGGAGGGAGAAGGAATCGAAAACGAGATTGGGCACAGGGAGGCGGCCCAGAGAGACAGAAAGAAGACTCTACATCATTAGACCTCCTTTGCCAGTACCAAAATATAATAATAGGGTTTTTCCCCTTTTTTCTGGCAACAAAACTGAAACCTTTTTGCAAGGAATCATGTGTGCATTAACCACAATAACTTGTGGTCAAAATGCAAACAAAAAACACACTGATAATATATGCATTGTCCTTGCAACTGCTTGGTCCATATATTATCAGAGTGTTTTTTGTTTGCATTTTGATCACAAGCATTGTGGTTAATGCACACATGATTCCTTGTAAAAAAGGTTTCAGTTTTTGTTGCCAGAAAAAAGGGGAAAAACCCTATTATTATATTTTGGTACTGGCAAAGGAGGTCTAATGATGTAGAGTCTTCTTTCTGTCTCTCTGGGCCGCCTCCCTGTGCCCAATCTCGTTTTCGATTCCTTCTCCCTCCTTGCGCACCTACCACGGGAGAAGCAACTTCCCCTGTACATTGAGCAGCACCGCCCATAGACTCGGCACCGTCCATAGACTCGGCACTGTCCATAAACTCGGCACCGTCCATCGACTCGGCACCGTCCATCGACTCGGCACCGCCCATAGACTCGGCACTGTCCCCGTGTACATGAAGCAGTCCCCCTCCTTCACCTCTCTTCACCTCCCTTCTCCTTCCCTTCCTCTCTTGACGTTTCACCCCTTCTCTGTTGCCCATCCTCTTCCCTCCCATCGCCCCCCCCACCCACCCACTCCGTTCCGCCCTTCCCCTATAGCCCTTCCGTGACCCCCACGTGACCTCTGTTACGGTCATTCATTCCTCGGCCCTTGACACGCCCATGCCTTCTAAATCACTCTATTTTCGTTACCGCTTTTAAATTTTGTAAAGCGCCTTGCGCTACAAGGCGCTCTATAAATATAAAAGTAAGATACTATTCATGCTAATTGACGAGTTTCTTTCTTCGGGGGCTCTGATGCTAAGGCCACAGCCTGCGGCTTGCATGGTTTCTCTAATCTTTTGCTTGAATGTTTACAGTGTGAATGGAAGCCTGTGCCTATACTGTATGTATATTTTTTTGAATGGCGAACGTGAGAAGCTAAAGCCACGAGGAGAACTGCTGTCTTCGTACCCGGCTCTTCCACACATTCATTTTTGTGTCGTTCAAATTGGTCTGATCATAGCCAAAAAGGTGCCACGTGATATTTTTTTGTTTTTGCAGAAGTACAATGATGCTTTGTTTATTAATGAAGATACAAGAGCTAAGGACGCAATGAACTATCTTGAGAAATTCTTTGCATCGCTGGATCCCGAAGGTTTCATTGACATCGATGAAACACTGGCCAACTTTTTTAAAGGTAAGCTTGTCGTTAAATTTTTACTAAAAAGTATTTAGTATACCCGTCTGGCCCAGGAGATGTCCCTCGTCTTTAAATACGCGGTCAACAAATGATGTATTCTCAACATTACAAAATGTAATCATTACAGGTGTTGTATGTGTAGATGGACCACTTTAGGCTTGATAGAACAATCCGAGGAAGCAAAAAGATAAATAAAATGTACAGTAGATATTTTAAAACATAGACCCTGTCATCAATGGAGTCTTCTTCCGCCTGCCATTGGGCAAAGACTTCCCAGATGACCCCAAACAGAAAACCCTTGCCTGCATTATTTATTTACTAGCTGTACTACCCGGCTTGGCCCGGGACTTGGATTCACCACGCCCGGCCGCCTTTGTCTCCCCAGTGTCGATGTTCACACACCACACCAGTTACTCGTTTGAGGCTGAGTCGACCTAGGGGAGGCCCAGGACCGGTTAAAATAATCGTCACCGGTGGTGGCCGTGAGCGGGAATCGAACTCGGGTCGCCGGGTTCGTAGCGCAGCGTAGCGCTAACCACTACACTACAATGCGTCACGCTTCCACATGCGCGGGTCACGTGACAGATTTTACATTACAGCTCACTTGCCGTGCAAAAAAGATATGCATTGTTGTTACATGGTGTACAGCCTGGAAAGAACCCACACGGCAAATGTCAAGTTTGTTGCATGTCGGGAAGTACGCTAAACATTTTGAACAGACGCACATATTCACAACTTTGCCTTTTATATATATATGGAGATGAAACTTGTACATTCATTGTTTTGCCGGTTAGTAATTATCACGTCTGACCTTAAAGATGATGGAGGCATTATATTTTTTTTACACACTTGCTGAGCAAAGGCCCAAAAGGCTAGCAATGAACACGCGGACGGTAACAAACAGCGCTGTCACGACCAGAGCCGTTCCTCATTCAACGCGCTGGATGCGCGCCTGACAAGTGCCGCTTTAAGCGAAAACTCATGAAGCGACGAATCACCAATTTATCTGCATTGGAGGGCACAAGTCAATTAAACCGATGCAAATTTGAATCACGCTTGCCACTGTATAGTCAAGACTACAGTCATCCAATGGCAGGGCAGGAAGCTGAGATAAAGCTACGCCGCATACTGTATCACACCGCGAAAACGCGCAGCTCAAGAAAGTAGTTCTTGATCGACCAGTCGAAAACTGCGTTCATAACGGTGCGCGTTCTGTTTTTGTGCGAAAAAGTGCTCCCTCGTGTAAGAACTGCATTATCTTGAAAACGCACGCTCCTTAAGCGAGGACTTTGCGTATTTGAAAATTTCGTTGCTCGACAGAGGTGTGGGTCGGTCCAGAGGTTTGGTCACCCAACCCCCAAGAATATCCAGAAACCCACAATCATAAAATAACGTGTTCATTATTGAAAATAACAATAATCAAAGGTCTCGTAACGCAACACTCGCCGGTACGCGGGGAATAATATTTCAGACAGGTTTTATGGAGTACGAGTCTCGTCACAGCACATTCCCAGAGCTTGGTTCTGCATACAGGAGCACATTCAGAGAATGTTTTTTCCCCCCTCGGTTACGCAATCAGATAGTACATTCATATTTATCCCTTGATGATGGCAGAGGTTGTATTTTTTTTCCACCCTCACCACCACCGCATCAGTTGTTTTGCACAATTGCACGTGAGACGGAGAGACGGACAACAACATCCGAGATTAAACTTCGCTTCACATGGGCGCCTGCGCTCTCGTTCCTCGCCGGCTGCTCCCCGCGGAGCGTCAACTTTGCGCACTCATTCTGAGCTCGGAGTCAACCCCAGAGAGACTCGCTTGGCTCGGCCTGATGAGTCCTTGTCCACCAGACATGGACCCTCGTCGATGGCCTACTTCCAGACTCCTGAAAGGCCGAAGTAAATATATATATGAGAGTTCATTATACTCCGAATAATTATTTTCACTCACCGCTGACCAAAATTGAAGTGTACCGTGTTGAGATGGCATTCCAACCGACTGATGCTTATTCAGCCCTTGCTTCACAAGATGCCCATGAATGCTGCCCACTTTGCTTTTGTCTGTTCCATCGCTCTGGCATGATATGTAGCAAATGTTTGTGTAGGTATGGTGAACCTCATTCGCGCCGTACGCAGAAAACCGTGCTAATCGGAGGTGCGGGGGAAGGACACCAAACTCATCACAAAAAGCAATTCTAACGGAACGAGTTTTCAATCGAGATTTATAGGAAGAAAGAGCGGTCCATCTGAAAGCGCGCGATGCGGTGATCATCTTTGTTCGGTGGTTAGCCAAAATGCGCTGCGAGAATGAAATGTTTGCTCTTCACGCTTATATATATTTATATATATTTATATATTTGTATATATTTATATATCTATATTTACATATATTTATATATCCACATATGCATATTTATATATCGAGTTATATCCATATTTATTTATATATTTGCATTCATATATATTTATATATTTACTTATTCATATTTTAAACTGATTAAACTCCCTCGCCTCTGAACGAAGCTTACAGTGAGGGGGAAAAAGTATTTGATCCCCTGCTGATTTTGTACGTTTGCCCACTGACAAAGAAATGATCAGTCTATAATTTTAATGGTAGGTTTATTTGAACAGTGAGAGACAGAATAACAACAACAAAATCCAGAAAAACGCATGTAAAAAATTTTATAAATTGATTTGCATTTTAATGAGGGAAATAAGTATTTGACCCTCTGAAAAACATGACTTAGTACTTGGTGGCAAAACCCTTATTGGCAATCATAGAGGTCAGATGTTTCTTGTAGTTGGCCACCAGGTTTTCACACATCTCAGGAGGGATTTTGTCCCACTCCTCTTTGCAGATCTTCTCCAAGTCATTGAGGTTTCGAGGCTGACATTTGGCAACTCGAACATTCAGCTCCCTCCACAGATTTTCTATGGGATTAAGGTCTGGAGACTGGCTAGGCCACTCCAGGACCTTAATGTGCTTCTTCTTGAGCCACTCCTTTGTTGCCTTGGCCGTGTGTTTTGGGTCATTGTCATGCTGGAATACCCATCCACGACCCATTTTCAATGCCCTGGCTGAGGGAAGGAGGTTCTCATCCAATATTTGATGGTACATGGCCCCGTCCATCATCCCATTCATGCGGTGAAGTTTTCCTGTACCCTTAGCAGAAAACACCCCCAAAGCATAATGTTTCCACCTCCATGTTTGACGGTGGGGATGGTGTTTTTGGCGTCATAGGCAGCATTCCTCCTCCTCCAAACACGGCGAGTTGATGCCAAAGAGCTCCATTTTGGTCTCATCTGACCACAACACTTTCACCCAGTTGTCCTCTGAATCATTCAGATGTTCATTGGCAAACTTCAGACGGGCATGTATATGTGCTTTCTTGAGCAGGGGGACCTTGCGGGCGCTGCAGGATTTCAGTCCTTCACGGCGTAGTGTGTTACCAATTGTTTTCTTGGTGACTATGGTCCCAGCTGCCTTGAGATCATTGACAAGATCCTCCCGTGTAGTTCTGGGCTGATTCCTCACCGTTCTCATGATCATTGCAACTCCTAGAGGTGAGATCTTGCATGGAGCCCCAGGCCGAGGGAGATTTACAGTTCTTTTGTGTTTCTCCCATTTGCGAATAATCGCACCAACTGTTGTCACCTTAAATTTTGATTTAAAGCTTTCGTGACTGCAGTAATTCATATTCTTAGTTTTTTCGGTAAAGTCACGTTGAAGAGAAACAACAAAATAACAAAATATATATAAAAAAATAAAAAATTCTCACGACGTTTCGACCATAACTCAAACGGTCATCATCAGGTGTGTCGGTTTGCATAAATTATATATATTTTGTTATTTTGTTGTTTCTCTTCAACGTGACTTTACCGAAAAAACTAAGAATATGTTGTCACCTTCTCACCAAGCTGCTTGGCAATGGTCTTGTAGCCCATTCCAGCCTTGTGTAGGTCTACAATCTTGTCCCTGACATTCTTGGAGAGCTCTTTGGTCTTGGCCATGGTGGAGAGTTTGGAATCTGATTGATTGATTGCTTCTGTGGACAGGTGTCTTTTATCCAGGTAACAAGCTGAGATTAGGGGCACTCCCTTTAAGAGTGTGCTCCTAATCTCAGCTCGTTACCTGTATAAAAGACACCTGGGAGCCAGAAATCTTTCTGAATGAGAGGGGGTCAAATACTTATTTCCCTCATTAAAATGTCTTTTGAATTTGGGAGTATCTCTGGATGAGGCATCCCTTAAATTAGAACGACAACATTATACTGGTAGGAACGAAGTTGTAAACTGAGTGTACCAGCCTGCAATAGATTAATGTGTCCGTCCGTCCGTCCCCTTTCAATACTTTAACGAAGTGAAATCTCGTGCTGTTGGGTGTAAAATCAGCAATAGACAGCGCAGAGACTTGTCCTACCAGCCCACCCTGCAGGGACCTGTTACTGTCTGTTGTGTCCATTGCACGGCGCACACGCCATTGCGCACGATGCTGACGATTCACACCCGCGCGAGCCCCCCCACAATGGAAGCAGATTTATTGAAAAACAGGAGACGAGGGAGAGCATCCCGCCACGCGAAGGCGCGCCACCACAGATTGGATTCTTAACCCGACCCCCGTACACGTAAACACGAATACACGTGTAATGCGAGCGTGCGCCGACGGTCGCCGAACGGTGGGATAGGCTTCGCCGCTTCGGCCTCTTCAGCCAATCGGGTGACGGGGAGTATCTGGCCCGGAGTTTCAAGGGCGGGGCCCCGAGGGTGCTAAGTTGGGAATACCATCTAGAAGGTTCGTGAGGGGGGGGGGCGTGGCTAGAGGGCGGGGCTTGTAAGGGGAAGCCGGAAGGGGACTCGGGGGTCAGCGCGGTAAGTCTGGAAGCGGGACCGCGTCTCGCGCCTCCGGGACGCCATCGGCCAACGTGGCGGTCCGGAGGCGGTCTCCCTGCGCGCCGTCTGCCAGCGGCGGGCGGCAGCGGGGAGAGCGAGCGGAGGACACCAGCTCGCGCCGCGCAACGCGGAGCGACGGAGGAGGTAGCGTGGAAGAACGCGGAGCTGTCCAGCGGCGATGGATGAATAAATAAATAAAGGAGACGGTGGCCGATTGTCGTCACAAAGTGATTTCTCGCACATGTTGACGACAAAAAAAAACATTTGTAACGGACATTGCCAAAGCCTCTTCCTCTAAGGCTTCACGTTGTTTTTCACGCAGCGATTTCATCCAGCCGAAGCGCGTTCGCCGCTTGTCGCGGAGGTTCGCGCTTCGAATTCTCAACAGGCCGCCCTGGTTATTACTGCGGGTGCACCAATCTTAAACAAGACTATGCACCATCTGCATCGCAGTGGACGTCGCCGTGATGCCATTCTAAAAGAGTAGGCAGTGAGTTGGCTATTGTGCGCCAGCGTCATGGTCCACAATTGACCAAAAATAGAAAAATGCACCCTTCACGTTACTCAATTGGGATTACGCATAGCAACATCGCCCCGCTAGCTGTGCTACTACTGCACACTATGTGAAACATCGTGCACTTTTGATAGCCTTGTACTATCAGAAGGGTGCGCAGAAATGGAAATGCACGCCATTATTATTTGAAGAGCACGGGTATGTATACTCAACGTGACTGGCGCATGCGAAAACCAGTCGTTTTTGTCACGCACAAGGCCATGAATGTTTCGATTATTAATAGGTTTCAAATTCAGTCCTGGGGCAGGGCGATTTGGACAAATATTTACTGGCCTTGATTTGAAGCTTTTGTGACTGCAGGAATCCGTACTTTCTGGTTTTTTCGGTAAAGTCACCTCGGTAGAAAAAAATCATAAAAGAAAACACGACGTTTTCGTCGCAACACAAGCGACTGAAACGTCGTGTTTTATTTTATTATTATTATTTTTATCTTCGTGACTTCACCGAAAGAACCAGAGAGCATTAATGGCCTTTTAAAATTTTTCTTTAATGTTTCTTACGGAGCTTGTCACTTGTAAAAGGGAAATGTGTGTCTGCACGTGCGTGTTTATGTCTTTGTGTGTTTGCATGTTGCCCTCGTTTTCAGAAAAGCTTCACGATCTGCAGTCATGTCTGAACAATCCTGAAAATGAAAATCCGAAGCTCCTCAAACTGGAGGAAATACTGCGGGACGAATACCAGATGAATGCTGCAACCAAATCCATCCTCTTTGTGAAGACACGTGCCATCTCCGAGGTGAACGCACAGTAACACATGGCTCTCTCATAGCCGGGCGCTGGTGGCTCTCACACCCCTGCGTGTCGAGGTGCCATTCCCTGGCTCGCCATGAGAAGGCAGCCGTTCCATATGGGATAGAGTGTTTCCCCCTCACACGTGTGGTTTTTCTCTGGGTGCTGTGGTTTCCTCCCACATGTCAACACTGATTAATGTCCCAATAACACCTTGATATGTAGAGGATCACAAGTGTTGAGTCATTTGCACGCGAGCTTTCGAATTTGCCAAATGTGGACTGTAACGCTGGCAACGCTTTGAATGAGGTCAGGGATTTTTAGCGTCCACTGCGAAAGGGGATGCCGCGTATTTCACGGTCAGTACGTGAGAAAGGGGGAAACATTCTATCCCATGAATACGGAACGGGTTGAATTCACATCTCCTGGTGAGCCAGGTGAATGGCACCCCCGACACTCACGGTTGTGTGCCACCAGCGCCCGGCGCAATTTTTTTAAATCTCAGCATCGTTATACTGCAAGAAGTACGACTCAAGGAGTAACGGATTTCACCTGCTTGTGTTTCAGGCAATGGAGAGTTGGATCAATGAAATTAAAACGGAGTTGCCTCATCTCAAGCCCTCCAAGCTCATTGGACGGGCTAAAAGCAAACACCATGAAGGTCCGTTTCCCTGATGAGAATGTGGCAACTTTGTCGTGAATGGTTTCACGTGTGGGACGGGAGTAGCGAGTTGAATCTGAACCTGGCTTGCCTTAAACTCGGCTGAAAACAATAACCGAGTGCAAATTTGCGAAAATCGGCACGTGTGCACTTACCTGCTCATGGCAAATGAAATGAGGTCCAAAAATAGTCGGATTCTCACCTCAATGGTCAAGCCAGGTGCTGCTCACCCAAGAGGGATGAGCCATGGTTTCACCTTTACTTAAAAGCAAACGGCTCATCACAATCAATCGGTCGCAGGCCCCAGTCTATCGGGCAACAACGTTTGGCGCCCAACGCCAAGCTGAAAGCACGCCGAGATTACGATGTCTGAGAAATTGCATCTAGCCTGGCACAGGAGTCACGCTGGCATTGCCGCCACCCTATGGGGAAATGAAAGACGACGTTGTCTTTGTGCGCGCACGCAAAATGTTGATGTATGGTTAAACGCACTTAATGATGAACGTTATTTTGGTATCGGTAAGTGGCATGGTCCTCTCGTAGGTTTTCACAGCCGAATAATGAACACCTCTTACAGTGTGTCTTCAAGAGCACTTCAAGAGACAAAGACAGCCACGTTTGATGATTCCAAACGAACAAGATTGTGCTACCTTTTCCAATAAACCAAACCCAGATATATATTTCTCAATCAAACGAGATCTATAAAAAAAAACTCTACAATATACTCTAAACAAAGTTCAACACAACACCAGCAGATGTCAGTAAAATTCAACGTCTGACTGTCCAGGCTGTGTTGGAACATTCCGAATGTACATTTACATTTGTGGATAAGATATTCCTACCATATTACTCCCAACAATATTCATCATCAGCCGAACTGGACCAGATGGCAACCCTCGATACAATTTCCTGAGTATTTTTATAAATGCACTCGTGTGTGTGTGTGTATGCATGCACTGGGCGATGAACCTGGTGACCTGGGTTCGCTTCCCGCTCACAGCCAGCATTGGTGGCGAATATCTTACCAAGTATTGGGCCGGTCCTAAGCATCCCCAACGTAATTTCAACCTTAAACGAGTACCTGGTGCGGTGTGTAAAAGATCACCACTGGGGAGACAAAGGCGGCCGGGCGTGGTGTTGACCAACCATTCCCTCGTGCGCCGTGTCGGCCACCATAGGTGCTCGGTAGCAGCACTTGCCCCAACAGCCTGTAAAAGGCTACGTTGGGGGATCTTTGCCTTGGTTTGTGCATGCGCGTGTGCTTTGGGTATGCAAGGGATGACTCTAAATCAGCAGTCGGGGGCTGTGGACGAATTCCGAGAGGAGCAGGGAAGCAATCTGCTCATCGCGACGAGCGTGGCAGACGAGGGCCTTGACATCCAGCGCTGCAACCTGGTGCTGCTATACGACTACGTGGGCAACGTCATCAAGAGCGTGCAGACTCGCGGTACGAGCTCGTACCGCCGGGCAACATGGCGGCGGGGCCACGCGCGTGGCAGACCGGCGGAGAGTTAACTAACCGCTTAGTTGCACAAAGCAAGAGAGTGGTACTTTCATGAGAATAATAATAATAATAATAATCATTTGCATTGAGCGAAATGGCCCTTCACGCCGGAGCGTTCACGTCGGCAACTTGAAGTCGCATCTCATCTCAGATCATTTGAAAAGGCGCCCGCGCAGTGGCAGCTGTCCCAGTGCGGTACTCGGCACCTGGTGTGCGAGCGGGCATTAGCCTGGCAGTTGTACGGTGGTGATGATTGCTGCTGCGTGTAATTCAAATTGAGTCATTTGCGGGTGATTGAACGATTTTTGGCAAATTTGGGGAAGGACGCTGGCACGCAGTGGCCTCTTTACTTCGAATGACGTCAGGGGATCATTAGCGTCCACTGTGATGCGGACAGCGTGCACTTTTAAAATTAATACCCCCCCGCAGCTATTCACTGAAAAAAACAACTATGATTCACACGTTACAAAATATGTTCAATATATATACACGTCACTTCCCCATATGTTGTTCCTCTCCAATCTTGCCACCCCAAGAAAACTGACACGAACCTCCTCTCTCTCTCTCGGGCATGCGACAAGTGCTCGTTCGTTTGCGTTCTCATTGTCTGAAACGAGCTTTGCCGCGTCATTGTTACCTCTGGCTGAATTCCAGTCCTAAAAAATGTCTACGTTCAAAAAACGTGATCCTGCCCGCGCGATTCAGTGTCAAGTGATCTCTTGTGCAATTCAACACTTTTGTGGTTCTTGGGATGTCCATGAGCTGTTTAGAGGGCCTCGACAGCCCAGTTCCCAGTGGACCATACCAGCCAATGTTCAAGTCTTATAATCTGGCAATATTTCAGGTGCCACAATCTATTATGACATTGCTCCAACTATAACCGCCCACCGCTACCTCTGCTGCTGCTGCTGTACGCTCGCTTCCTCCCGTTCCACGACTCTTACCGCGACCTGAAACGGAAAAGCGTGGAGCAAAAAGGAGGGGCCTAAATCAGAAAGGGGTGGAGCCTGAGGAGTAAGGGGGAGGGGCATAGGGGAAGGAGGTGGGGGCCTAAATATGAGGCGGGGCCTAAAAAGGAGGCGGGGCCTATGTAGGTTGAAATTCCCTGTGGATTTATAACGTAATGGAGGCTTATAATCAAATGCATTGCAGCAGGTAGCAGTTTGGAGCAGCATAGCTTTAGTGCCGCAGATGCGGCCATAGGCCAACTAGTTCATGTGAATACAGTGAAACGCAGGAGGCAACACATGGTGGTTGTAGGCACTGTCACACTGTACAAACACCAGCAGGCAAGTGAATGTGGTCATGTTATTCTTCTGCGTGCATTTCTTTGGTTGTGTAACGTTTCACAGCACAAGCCAGTGCCTGTCAGTGTACATGTCTTTGCCCATCTTCGCGCCGAATAGGACGAGGCCGTGCAGAAAACAGCAAGTGTATGCTGATCACCACCTTGAAGGGCGGCTTGGCAGAGAAAGAGAAAGTGAACCTTCTGATGGAGAAGGTCATGTACACCGCTATCGAGAATGTACAGAAGCTCGACCCTGTCACCAGGGCTAAAAAGGTAACTGTGCAACGGCATGTTTGCATTCCCTTAATTCCTGCGATGTGCTCCAATCCGTTCCGTTGGCTGGATGCCATTGACTTCGGGTCCCCTACCCCAAAACCAGCAGCTCACCTTTTGCGGACAACATTTTAAATAGTGAAAACACCGGGGGAAGGCTTGGTGGAAAGGGTTGGTGGATCGCACAAATGTTGCGAAAATCCTTTCCCATGGATGCCAAGGAGGTACCACACCCCCTGCCTTGCCAGGAAAAGGCGGTGCAGCAAAAAATTTGAATCCATCTGTATGGGATAGCGTTTCACCCTTGCACTTGTGGGCTTCCTCCAGGTGTTCTGGTCTCCTCCCACATGTAATTACTCATCGCTTGGTTTGTAACACCTTCATATATAAAGGACGGCAGAGCTTGGGGAATTGTTTGCGCCGACTGGACTGCGTGGATGCCTTCCCGCTTGCCCGTGGTTCCTTCTCGTGCCTGAGTCATTCTCTCTCTCTCTCTCGCTCCTCGAGAGTGATTGATTACGTGTTGAAATTATATTTATAATTGAGATTATTTCAGCAATTGCTCGAAACTTTGACTGTTATTGGGCGTGGCTGCCTTAGCAGTTATGCCACTCTACCGCGACATGAATAAAGTTTGTTACAATATACGTGCGAGCTATGGTATATTTAAGCTGCAAATCCAGAATGGTATATTTAATTAGTGTTAATCTGTTTAAAAAATGCTATTCTTAAAAAAAATCGAACTCTGTCAGGTAACAAGACTAGCGGCTAGGCCTCGGCAAATGCTGTCATCAACTCTGCGATCGACCCACCTGAACACCGTTTGACCACTTACACTCCGAAATGCCTGCGCTGACTCACACATCATACACTCACTCAACCTAATACTGACTCGCACATCATACGCTGACTCACACATCATACACTCACTCACGCTGCTGCTGACTCACTCACACATCATACACTGACTCACTCACACATCATACACTGACTCACTCACACATCATACACTGACTTTCTCACACATCATACACTGACTCACTCACACATCATACACTGACTCACTCACACATCATACACTGACTCACTCATCATACACTGACTCACACATCATACACTGACTCACGCTGCTGCTGACTCACTCACACATCATACACTCACTCACTCATCATGCGCTGACTCACACATCATACACTCACACTGCCGCTGACTCACACATCATACGCTGACTCACACATCATACGCTGACTCACACATCATACACTCACACTGCCGCTGACTCACACATCATACGCTGACTCACTCATCATACGCTGACTCACACATCATACACTGACTCACGCTGCTGCTGACTCACTCACACATCATACACTCACTCACTCATCATGCGCTGACTCACACATCATACACTCACACTGCCGCTGACTCACACATCATACGCTGACTCACTCATCATACGCTGACTCACACATCATACACTGACTCACGCTGCTGCTGACTCACTCACACATCATACACTCACTCACTCATCATGCGCTGACTCACACATCATACACTCACACTGCTGCTGACTCACTCACACATCATACACTGGGAGTGTCGTGCTGCCAGCTAAGGCTGCAGGTTTTGTCGTACGTGTTATGTATATCGTTTATTGTTAAATTTAAAATCACAGTTCCTATGATTACTCTTGTTTACATTGTTTTTGTAGCTTTATTTTGGTCTGGTTGTTGTGTAATCGTTTTCTGCAATGTAGATTCATATTTTGTTTGTTGCGGTTGCACCCGACTTAAGAGCCACATGGCTTACAGGGCTATACTTAATAAATGAAACTTGAACCATTACGCCTCCTCTTCCCCCCCTCCTCAACCCGAGAGGCTTGGCAACTGTTTGCCTTCTTAGAGGGTGCGATTTAAACTACCGGATTTCTAGTCCTCAGACTATGGATGTAGTCACTCCTCGTCGCTGTCGGGAGGATCATCAATGTGACCTTCCACTTTGGTGTGCCAGCTTAAGAGCTGATATAGAATTGAAGCTTTCGTGACTGCAGAAATTACTATACTCATTGTTTTTTTTCGGTAAAGTCAACGTATGTAGAAATAAATAAAATAAAATGTAACTAAATTAAAATAAATCACGACGTTTCGAACGCAACACAAGCGATCATCATCAGGTGTAAAACAAATAGCGAGGGAACACTTAGGGGGACATCACGCACATAGCGCATAGCGAACGTTGAACTGCACGGAGGCAAATACAACAAGAAGATGAGAAACGAGAAACACAACAAACCTAAGAAAAATAACGCGATGCAAAACCAGTCGGCCAACAGCACAGACACTGACATGGTTGACCACGTGTTTCAGAAGACTGCTAAATTTCGTGTTCATCCTCTGGGTTGGACAAACCAGCATAGACAGTGTGAACAAATACGAGGTACAAGGTAGCGGAGATACATTACACAGGGAGGAACATCCAGGGAAAGATGTATTGGGCAGCACAGATGGACAACAAGAGTAACACCACACCAAGAGACATACACACATGGAGAGGCACACAACACAAAAGACTGGAGGGATGACGGACAGAGACTTAAATAGGCTGCAGAGGTAGGGGGGGAAGACAATAGGGGACATACGCGGAGGGTAGCACATTGATGAGCAACATCGGGGCAGAAAATAGAAAGGATGGAAATAACTGAAATAGAGACACAGTCCACGGTAAACAAAAAACGAAGTAACTTTGAAGGACATAGAGATACATACGAAGAAAAGATAACACAGGGAAATATTCTTTGGTTTTTTTCGGTAAAGTCACGTAGAAATAATAAAAAATAAAATTATATAATAGCATACGATGTTTCGATCGCAACACAAGCAATCATCATCAGGTAGAGGAAACACAACCGCAGAGATATATACAGACCTTAAGTAGGGGGAATTAACACAGATATACCAGGGGATACAGAGAGACGGAACATCACACTAAATCAAACAGGGTTTAGCAACCCTGTTTGTGTTGCTTTATATAGTTTCCAAATTTTGCTAAACCCTGTTTGATTTAGTGTGATGTTCCGTCTCTCTGTATCCCCTGGTATATGTGTTAATTACCCCTACTTAAGGTCTGTATATATATCTGCGGTTGTGTTTCCTCTACCTGATGATGGTTGCTTGTGTTGCGATCGAAACGTCGTATGCTATTATATAATTTTATTTTTTATTATTTCTATGTTACTTTACCGAAAAAAACAAAGAGTAATTCCTGCAGTCATGAAAGCGCCCAATCACAGGGCAATATGTTTAGGACAGAATTGTAAAGATAACCTCCCCGTAGAGGTAGATTAATATAGAATTGACCCCGCATCTAACCCTTACTAACGTTGCCGCTGAGACACGGTAACCAAGTGTATCTTGCCCCGAGAAGATGCACACTGAGATCAACAACCCAATGATAATGATATCTCCCATTGCTGTGAAGGGGAGTCCCTACTGGAAGAGGCTTCTACCACTTTAGAAATAGATGTCTACCCACTCCTGAGACCCACTGGTTTTTTCTTGTCAGGCAGCTAAGTTGCTATTGTGCCTCCCACCCCACAAACCCAGTGTTTTGTCCTTCATTTACATATTTGGCAGCTGTTAAAGTCTACATGAAAAGCCGCTTCTTTGAGCTTTCATTTGTGGCCAGATCGCTTCTGAAAAAGTACTAAAAGCCTCCGCAGGCTTTACCTGGTAAAATTAAAAGTTTCAATCGTGCATGGTCCAACACCCAATGACTATTTCAGTCAGATGTTTGCAGGTGGAATTTGGTTACACAGGCAAAACTCGGTGCTGTTTTTTTTGTTTTAACCTGTTGAGTTCCACGATTAAAGTGTGTCTTGTTAAATTAATTTTTAATTAACACGCTTGTTTTTTACCCAAGAAAAGGCTCGCTGAGTTTCATGCCTTTTTTTCAGGAGGGCCCTACCAAGTTTTGGTAGTGGTAGTATATTCCAACTGATGATTTTTTTTTGCAGGTCATCTTTCAAATGTGGGCCATGATGCCGGCACGCGCTGGCCTACTTTTGCAAATGACGTCACGGGATCTTTAACATTCGCATGTGAAGCAGACGGTGTGTGTGTGTATATATATATTTTATGAAGACAGCCGCACTAATAACCAGGGTGGCCACTGGATTCGAAATGTGAACTCTCTGGAACAAGCAGCGTACGCTTGTTGCAGAGATGTCCCTGAACCTCAAAATCGTTCAGCAGAGTACTGTATGGCAATAAGAACAAGATTATTTTGGGCTATCTTAATGGAATGAGTGTAGTAGAATGTAAAACCGCTTTGGGTTTTTTTTTTTTGTTACAGATGGAAGGCTTGCAAAAGGCCACCCTGAGTTCTGCCGAATTTCAGCGCATGCTGCAGAGATTTAAAAAGACAGAGGAAGATATCTACTTTCTGCATTGCATCAAGTGCAAAGAACTAGTCTGCAAATCAAGCGACATCCGCTTAGTTGAGGTGGGTAATCCATGTCGAGGAAGTGTGACATTTTATTCCACATTTACCGAGCATAACGGTCTGAATAGTTGCAGCTGGGCCACCTGTGTTGATGACGGTTTCTGTACGAGAATGTCTGGATGGCGAATGTAACCACGTGTGATTATAGTCGAACAACCAAGAGGATATACATTTGACACCGAACCTCCACTGCCCCACCATCATCTGCTTTGATGTCTTCCCATTGGCATAAGTTGACTTGCTTTTCATTTGTACGGTTTTGGTTAATTTCAGCCAGCGCAAAGCATGTGTTTTCTTACGTACGTACATGTCGTTTTATTTGTGTAACTTGTCTGCTGTGAACAGAATACACACTACACTGTGATTTCTTCTGCCTTCATGGAGCTGGTAGACCACAAGCCCCACCAAAAACCTATGTCTTTTGATGGAATCAGTAAGATTGGAAAAATTCACCATAAGACATGCACTAAAGATTGGGGGATAACGGCCATCTACAAGAGCTTGAAGTTGCCCATCATCAAGATCCAGAGCTTCATTTTCAAGAAGGAGAACAGCAATGTTCATATCGTCCTCAACAAGTGGAAAGATTTTCCAGGAATAATTGCAGTGTTCTCTTTTGAGGAAATTGGACAGATCGGGGAAAATGTCCTTTCGGCTGAGTAACTTGTCATAGGATGCTTATTTTATTGCTGCACGAATAGGGAGTGGAAACTGTTCAATTGTGCTTCGTTATACCCTTACAGTGACTTTACGGTGTACCGCAAAAGGTATAATATGTTGTTTGGATTTTTGTGTGAGCTTACGAATGTTAAAAATAGGGTTTTAATTATTGCATGACGTACACATTTTAGGGTTTTAATACTTAAACGTAAGTTATGTATGTTAATACATATATGGAGGTGTCTGATATTGTGAATAAACAATGCGTAAATCCACACATAACCCTCCCAGCAAACATGGAACATTGGGCCCAGCGTCAGTCCAACGATTCTCACCATATGCCACCGTTACTGGGTTATAGTGAATTACTATGTAAGCAATGCAGTCATTTAATGAAACAAACTTCATTTAATATAGCACACTTCATAATATATTTGTCAGAGAACTTCAGAAGTCAACAAAATACGTAAAATAAATGCAATTGACAACAAATAAAAGTATACACCATGTTTCAAAATTGTGTATGTGAAAGATTGTAAAATAAATCTTTAGCCTGATTTAAAAAACCGCATAAGCTTATCAGATGGTTTTCATAGTGCACTCCATATGAACAAAACGTCGACAAGCACGCTGCACCATCGACACATTACTCGCAAAACTGTACCCACAAACCTTGGCTATGAACATATAAACCCGGACTATGAACCCACAACCCTAAACCAACAAACCAATAAACGCAGATTCCGAACCCACAAATCCGGACGAGGAACACACAAACCAAGACTCGGCACCAATAAACCCGGTTTATGAATTCACCCAGAATTTAGCAAACCCTTCCCTCTCGCAGATTTAGCTATCGCGTGGTTTTGCACCAAATATATTGAGGCACAGTTCACTATTCGTGCACTTTGGGTTGACCGTGAGATTCCTGTACACGGTTGTAACTGCACTGTCCGCGACGGTGCTGCCGCGGAAGAACACACACGCGGCACCATCTCGTCTCCATCTCGTCTCCCAAGTGGCCCATCGCGGGTCCCAGGCCATGAGGTGTTCCCAGCCTCCAGTGGGGGATGCTGTGAGGTTCAGCCGTGTGATTTTTTTTTCCCTGTAGTAGACTATTGTACGCCACATTTACCATTCAAGTTACGTTTAACACTCGAGAATATTAATCATATTTTACATTCACAGTACTTCCTGTTGAATCTGTTGGGCTGATGTAGGGTAACGTAAAATAAATGTAGGAGTGGGTGTTGTATTACGAACCGTGAAGCAAACCATTCTTTTCACATTTTTTGCCTTTGAGTTTGCGGATCGGGGATTTGCCGATAGCAGCGATTTGCAAGAACATATCTCCCACGATGGGCAAGGCTCTGCTGTACCTTCCAACAAATGTATTAGAATATTATATCTCCAATCTCAATGCTTTCTGAGGGCTTGGATCATTAGTTTGCACAAGTTTGCACAAGTTTGCACAAGCTCGGATCCATTATAGCGAATTACATTTATGACACAGGATGATCGTCAAACACAAGTCGATTTCAGAACCAAACTGAAAGAAATAAAGTTTGTCAAATTATAATAGGGGGTATTGTAATGTACTTAAAAAAAAAGTGTATACCGTTAATAAAGTGATGCAGAACGGATGGCTTTGGTGGCTGTTTTGGGGTGGGGTGGGGCTGGGTGGGGAGGGAGGGGCTGGGTGGGGAGGGGCTATGTGGGGAGGGAGGGGCTGGGTGGGGAGGGGAGGGTGGGGAGGGAGGGGCTGGGTGGGACTGGGTGGGGGGTGGGAGGGGTGGCGAGTGGCTGGTCACCCCGTGGTGCCCTTATAAAACTCAACGTTTAACCGACTCACGCCGGCTTGTGCCCACCCTCACAGTCGGGCACATTGTGCGGAATACACCACGTGGTGGTGCCGCCGTTGACCCTGGCCATTGACCGAGCAACCAACGTTCCTACCAGCTCCCTCCGCAGGAGAATGTGTTGCGAGAGCCAGGGTGTTATGGTACCTCAGGGGTACCCACCATAAGGTTAATCTGTATACTTAATTGATGTGATTGACATGCATAGAGATATACAGAATACACAGACACAGACCCAGTGGGTGTTACGGGTTCACTGATTGAGACGACTGATGGATGCACCACCGCCTGATAGTTCACGGACACTAAGGGGCCGTCCATAAATGATGTCACGCACCTAGGGGGGAGGGGGGGGTCAGACATTTGTGACGATGTGTGACAAGGGAGGGGGGGGTTTGAGAATGTGACGTCACATCAAAATGCGCTACTTTAAATAAATATAGACTACACGTTCTACTTCATTAACAATACTTTTTTAATGTTTCCTCCTACAACATCAGAGTGCAGCGCCACATTAAATACGCACTACAATGACAATAGTTTAAAGCGATTTGAAGCATGTTTTATCTTTTTTTGGGTGGGGGGAAGGGGGGCAGAGCTTTGTGACGTCATATTTGAGGGGGGATCTGACTTTTTATGACGCCGTGTGACGAAGGGGGGGGGGGGGGAGGTCAAAAATCGTCCAAAATCGCGTGACGTCATTTATGAACGACCCCTTTACTCATCGCCTGTTGCAAGGAGCGTGCGTCGACAAAGATAACAAAGATCCCCCATATAGCCTTAACAGACTGTAGGGGCAAGTGCTGTTAGCGAGCACCTATGAAGGCCGGAACGGTACACGAGGGGGTGGGTGGCCAGCACCACGCCCGACCACCTTTGTCTCCCTCGTGGCAATGTTTACTACACACCGCACCAGGTACGCACTTGAGGCTGAGTCGACCTAGGGGAGGCCCGGGACCGGTTCAGATAATCGTCACTGGTGTTGGCCGTGAGCAGGAATCGAACCCGTGTCGCTGGGTTCATAGCGCCGTGCGCTAACCGCTAAACTACCGCTCACACACAGACACACGTACACACACAGACACACACAGACAGATACACAACAACAACAACCGCAATTCGCCACTAAGTGGCGGTGACGTCACCACGACGCTTTTGCCAGGCCATGTGCACCTTGAGGCCACGTGAAGTGTCGAACGCCCGCTGACAGGAGATTACGGGGCAGACCCAGGTGCCACGGGTCGACTAAGATGACTGGCTGATGCACCACCTGTGCCCCCTACTCTGCCAACCTGCTGTGCTTTAGCAACCTGGCGCTCCGCTCGTTGTTGTGAGCGTCGCTCCTCCGCCCTCCGTTGTTGTTGGAGGGCGACTGCCTCCAACTGCCCAGTAGCGTCCTTCACGAGCCTCCTCCACAGAGGCCGATCTTGACACCGCTGGTACCAGTCATCGGCAAGTCCACTCAGCTCCACGTCCTCCTGTACCACATCACTCCATCTCTTCTCTAGCCCGTGCCGTGCCCGTTTAGCCCCCTCGATCCGGCCGAACAAAAGCTGCTTCGGCATTCGGTGGCTGGGCATGCGGGCAACATGACCCAGCCAACGCAGCCTTGCCTGTCGGAGGAGCTCACCGATGGGACCTTGCCCAGATCTTTCAAGGATTTGTGAGCTCCTCACACAATCCAGCCTGGTTTAACCCAGGATGGATCGTAGGCAGGCTAGCCTAAATGTTTCTAACCGGCGAAGATGTTCCATTAGGGGGGTCCACGTTTCGCAAGCGTAGAGAAGCGAGGGAATGACCGTGACCGAGAAGACCTGAAGCTTAGTGCGGAGTGACAGACCAGGTAGCTTCCACACAGCGTTACGCAACCGATGAAAAGATATTGCCGTTTGACTGATTCGGAGTGAGACCTCTGCTGTTAAACTGGAGCCGGTCATAAGCACACTGCCCAGGTATGGGAAACTCTCCACTCTCTCCACAACTTCCCCATTACCGATTGGCAGTTGTGGGGGTGGAGTGTCCGATGGTACAAAATACCCAGGCAGGTGCTTAGTTTTGGTGGGGCTGATGGTAAGGCCCCATCTCTTAGTGGCAAGCTCCAGTCTCAGCAGCAGCATCTCCAACTCCTCCTCTGAATGAGCAGCTATTACCAAATCATTGCCATACATAACGTGGTTGAGAAATAGGGAGCCATTCCTTGACCGCACCCGGGCATCGATCAGCCTCCCATTATATCTGTACCAAATGGAGATTCCCCCAGCACAGCTATTGAAGGCTTCACGAACTACGTGGTCAAAATAGATGTTAAATAATGTGGGAGCCAGAGGACATCCCTGTCGCACCCCAAGGTGTACAGGGAATGGCTGACTCCTGGCCATGTAGTTTTACCCGGGCCCGCTCACCATCATGAAGGTCCTTAATGATCGTGAGCAGAGGATCAGGGACTCCAAAAGCACGAAGAACAACCCAGAGCCCAGGCCTACTGATGGTATCATAGGCCTTGACCAGGTCAATAAAGCAGAGATGTAGGTCTTGCTGGAATTCCCTACACGTCTGCTGTAGCAGACGGACAGAAAATATGGCATCTGTGCAGGACCGCCCTTTCCTGAAACCGCATTGGGGCTCCGCAAGCCTCTCCTCAGTGTGCCTGGCAAGGTGATGTTGAATAATCCTTGCCAGGACCTTTCCCGGCACACTGAGGAGTGAGATGCCCCTATAGTTGTTACAGTCTGTGCAGTCCCCCTTCTTAAAGAGGGGGACCACCAGGGCATCCTTCCAATCCTGCAGAACCCATCCAGTGGTCCAGACTGTTATGATGTCATATAGGGCAGTCTGTACAATAACGCCACCCTCCCTCAGCATTTTGCTTGGGAGATAATCTCTGCCCGCTGCCTTTCCTGGTCTCAGACTCCGGATCGCCTTCAGTACTTCCTCAACAGATGGTACTTCAGCCAGCCACTCACAGGGGGTGACTTCTTCCAATCTTTGAGGCACCGCAGCCTCAGCAAGGTCATCCTCACTTTGTGCCACGATGTTTTCCTGGCTGAGGGATTTTCCCTCCCCCAGGACCTCACAGAAATGCTCAGCAAATCTGCAGAGATTGGATCACCGTTTTTTCCCCTAATTATGGTAATAGGTGTGGTGCTGCAGGTTACTTTTTTATGGACTTAAATAGAGATTTGTGATCACGGGCCACTGAGGCAGACTCCATCTCCTCAGCAACCCGCGACCACCACCCATCCTTGCAGCGCCTCACGGCTCTCCGAACCTCCGAGCGAAGGCTGCGGTCAGCCTCCTCATTCTCTGACGTGGGATTCTGTAGCCGATGACAGTGGGCCTGACGCTTTTTCTCAACCATCCTGAACACCTCCTCTGTCAGCCAGGGTCTCTGGGGAGGTCTGTACCGCATACCCAAAGCAGCCATTGCAGCTGCATGAGTCACAGTCCTAAACCTCGCCCATTTACCCTCGACATCAGGAGGAGTGGGGGACGATGCCAATCCCAGCCGCAAGCGATGATGACATTCTCGCTTGCAACTTTCATCAGATAACTGAGACCAGGCCACTTTAGGTTGGAATGGGGTCCTGGGTGTACACCCACCACCGGAGCGGAAGAATGGCAGGCGCATCTTACAGATGACTATGGTCAGAGGGCAGATCAGCTCCACGGTAGGTCCTGGTGTCAAGGACATGGGCTCGCATCCGCTGGTCCATCACTATGTAGTCCAGCAGATGTTCTTGCTTGGACCCGGCATGCATCCATGATGTTGTGTGGATGCGCCGATGCCGGAACAGCGTGTACACAGAGACACACACACAGAGACACACACAGAGACACACACACAGAGACACACACACACAAGGTCACCGACTCGCCCCCATGCGAAACGCGCTGCCACGCGCGCTTGCTCAACCCCCCCCCAACTCCAATCCATCATCAGGCGCCTGATTTGGGGATGCTGCGTAGATAATGAGGGGGTGGGTGTCACGGAAAATGTGATAGCGATCAATGATTCAACTCAAGCCTTACGTCTGGTATCGATATTAATCGATAACACCCGAGGGTTGATGCAACCCTCCCAATGAATTGACCCTTAGATTTGTGTTTTTGCCCTTTGCATATTAATTTCTGTTTTAAATCAGCCTTACTTTAAAAATGCATATTACGTTTTAGATAATTAAATGGGGGGGGGGGGGGGTCACAAGACATCTGGACCAGTCTGTAGACTAAAACCGGGCATATTTGCCTCTAAATGAACAGCATGAGATCCGTCAGCACAATGCAGTTGGATTGTGGTACAGTTCTAAACTGTGAGTAAAGTTATAAACTGTGATAAAGTTATAAACTGTGATAAAGTTCAACACGGCAATACCGGTACCGGATTGCGTTACAAATCAATTCCTTCTGACAAACGAAATTTTTGATGCCAGTCAGAGGCGGATCTCGAAAATCCCCGACGGGGGAGGGTTCCTACATTCACATTTAAAATCACAACACCACTCAATCGCGTATCTTCTCTGATGATCAATCAAATATGCCGATTCCTTTAGATTCTTACGGTGACATATCGAACGGGCGAAATCTGGACAGGTGCCTCCACCCCCTGCCTGCCACTGCTATGCAGCGTCGAGCCCCTACGTAAGATGGCCGCAAACGCTCCCCCCCCCCTCCACGACAGCCCTGACGTCACGTCAGCGGGGCGTGTGTGTGGGGGGGGGGGCGTTGGCGGCCATCTTACGTAGGGGCTCGACGCTGCGTGCGGACGAATCCCGGAACAGGTGGCAAACGCCACCCTCCTGCCTCTACCACGCCAGCTTCGAGCCCCTACGTAAAATGGCCGCAAACGCTGCCCCCCCCCCACCACCTCCACGACAAGCCCTCGCGTCACGCGGACGCGACGTCACTGCGCGACGTGACGTCACCGCGCGTCGCGCGCACTGCACGCCGGGATGAGGGAGCCATGGGGGACCACGGCGCTGTTGGGCGCCTTCTGCTCCCCCCGGCCGCGCCGCGACTCCCCGGCGGTGCTTACCGCAGTGGCGGTGGTGGTGGTGGCGGCGGCGGCCGCGTGATTCGCCGGGGCTGAGCGCTAGCGGCGGTGAGCACACGAGCGCGGTTCTCACCCTCAGGGTTTTTGTTTTGTTTTGCGGGGGTGCGAAGTGTGGGAGCGGGCGGTGTGTGTGTGTGTGGGGGGGGGGGTTCGCCGGGCGCCTTTACATGGACGAGAGATGGACCAGCGTCTGAGCAAAGCGCTGCTGGTGGCGGCGGCGGCCCTCATCTTCTTCACCATCGCCTACCAGTACGTGTGTCCGGGCGCGGGCTGCGGCCTCCTGCTCCTCACGCCGCCGCCACAGGCCCACCGCGGCGGCGGCGGCGGCGGCTCATCCTCATCCTCCTCCTCGTCCCTCTCGTCTCTCTCCTCCTCCTCGTTGGACCCGTACCCGGCGCCCGACCCTCACTACGTGCGCAAGTTTCACTTCGCGACGCGCGACCTCGACAAGACGGTGCCCTTCGACCTCAAGGGCGACGACGTGATCGTGTTCCTGCACATCCAGAAGACGGGCGGCACCACGTTCGGCCGCCACCTCGTGCGCAACATCCAACTCGAGCTGCCGTGCGAGTGCCGAGCCGGGCAGAAGAAGTGCGCCTGCCTGCGGCCCGGCCGCCGCGACACGTGGCTGTTCTCGCGCTTCTCCACGGGATGGAGCTGCGGCCTCCACGCCGACTGGACCGAGCTCACGAGCTGCGTGCCCGCCGTGCTGCAGCGCAAGGGCAGCCGCCTCGACGCCAAGAGGTACTACCCCCCCACCACCCACCCCAACAGCTATCCCCCCCCCACCCACCCCAACAGCTATCCCCCCCCCACCCACCCCAACAGCTATCCCCCCCCCACCCACCCCAACAGCTATCCCCCCCCACCCACCCCAACAGCTATCCCCCCCCCACCCACCCCAACAGCTATCCCCCCCCACCCACCCCAACAGCTATCCCCCCCCCCACCCACCCCAACAGCTATCCCCCCCCCCACCCACCCCAACAGCTATCCCCCCCCCACCCACCCCAACAGCTATCCCCCCCCACCCACCCCAACAGCTATCCCCCCCCCACCCACCCCAACAGCTATCCCCCCCCCACCCACCCCAACAGCTATCCCCCCCCCACCCACCCCAACAGCTATCCCCCCCCCCACCCACCCCAACAGCTATCCCCCCCCCACCCACCCCAAACAGCTATCCCCCCCCACCCACCCCAACAGCTATCCCCCCCCACCCACCCCAACAGCTATCCCCCCCCACCCACCCCAACAGCTATCCCCCCCCCACCCACCCCAACAGCTATCCCCCACCCACCCCAACAGCTATCCCCCCACCCACCCCAACAGCTATCCCCACCCACCCACCCCAACAGCTATCCCCACCCACCCACCCCAACAGCTATCCCCACCCACCCACCCCAACAGCTATCCCCACCCACCCACCCCAACAGCTATCCCCACCCACCCACCCCAACAGCTATCCCCACCCACCCCACCCCAACAGCTATCCCCACCCACCCACCCCAACAGCTATCCCCACCCACCCACCCCAACAGCTATCCCCACCCACCCACCCCAACAGCTATCCCCACCCACCCACCCCAACAGCTATCCCCCACCCACCCCAACAGCTATCCCCACCCACCCACCCCAACAGCTATCCCCACCCACCCCAACAGCTATCCCCACCCACCCACCCCAACAGCTATCCCCACCCACCCACCCCAACAGCTATCCCCACCCACCCCAACAGCTATCCCCACCCACCCACCCCAACAGCTATCACCCCCACCCACCCCAACAGCTATCCCCCCCCACCCACCCCAACAGCTATCCCCCCCCACCCACCCCAACAGCTATCCCCCCCCACCCACCCCAACAGCTATCCCCACCCACCCACCCCAACAGCTATCCCCCCACCCACCCCAACAGCTATCCCCCCCCACCCACCCCAACAGCTATCCCCACCCACCCACCCCAACAGCTATCCCCACCCACCCACCCCAACAGCTATCCCCACCCACCCCAACAGCTATCCCCACCCACCCCAACAGCTATCCCCACCCACCCCAACAGCTATCCCCACCCACCCCAACAGCTATCCCCACCCACCCCAACAGCTATCCCCACCCACCCACCCCAACAGCTATCCACCCACCCACCCACCCCAACAGCTATCCCCCCACCCACCCACCCCAACAGCTATCCCCACCCACCCCAACAGCTATCCCCCCACCACCCACCCCAACAGCTATCCCCCCACCACCCACCCCAACAGCTATCCCCCCACCACCCACCCCAACAGCTATCCCCCCACCCCAACAGCTATCCCCCCCTCCCACCCCAACAGCTATCCCCCCACCCACCCCAACAGCTATCCCCCACCCACCCCAACAGCTATCCCCACCCACCCCAACAGCTATCCCCCCACCACCAGCTATCCCCCCCTCCCACCCCAACAGCCATCCCCGCGATACACGCGCGCACGCGCTGCTGCAGCAGCTTTGAGTTTGTGTGTACGCCATGTTGAACTTCTTTCAGCGCCGCACGTGGCCAACCGTGCTGATCGGAGGTGCGTTTGATTCGTTACGCCTGGATGATGGTCAGGTGTTTGCCAGCTTTCCCGGATATTTTACAACGGGGAGATCCCGCGGGGCGTTAAACGCAACCAAAACAAAGACGACGACAACACTGCAAAGGATGAGTACACACTCCTTAAGAGAATGCCGATGTTTCATTCATTGGTGTGTTGTTTGGATTGCGCCTTTGATAACGAATGTTGCGGCAGGCACGTACACCTCCCTCCACCTCCGACTCGTGCGTAGGGGATGAGATGTTGACGGGATGCTGCTGCTGCTGCTATTGCCGCCTTTCAAGACCTTGACAACACGGCAGATTTGTCGGGAAATTGTCAAAGAGTCTTCACCCCACAAACACTTCACTTGCGAGGAGCCTTATGGCCCTGAAATGGAACCATAGGGTTGACGGAGAGACTCTCAGGGATACAATCGTGAACAGTTGCGGGAGAGACTGGATGTTCTAGATTTGAAGCTTTCGTGACTGCAAGGATCCACACTCTTTGGTTCTATTCGGTAAAGTCACGTAGGTAAAAAAATAAAATAACAAAAATCACGACGTTTCGGCCACAACACAAGTGGCCTTCATCAGGTGAAGGAGACCTACGTGACTTTACCGGATAGAACCAAAGAGTACAGACTGTGTTACCCCCCCCCCCGTTTGTGTCACGCGTGTCCCGTCAGCCAATGACTCTTCCACGTAAATTCCACCAACAGCTGCTGCCTCTCCCAAAGCGTCTCTAGCCGACCGCATCTCACAACCACGCAAACAAATAGGGGAACCCTTTACCCATCTGGGGGGAGGGGTTTTTGTTGTTGTTGTTGTCGTGCGAGGGTGCGGTTTTTGTGGCGTTGTATTAATTAGAGCAGGCAACGAGCGTTAACATTCTTTACAGGCCTGCGAAGGAATTGAGATGACCTGATGATCGTACAGATGCTCATGGGTACGCTTCAGAGAAACAATGGCTGAAAGGGAAAATTACTTGAGTAAAGGCGGACGGGTCTGCGCGGTGTGGATGGCCATAGAAAAGGAATTCTAGAATGTAGGAGCAACAACAAGGAGCACGACCTCCCCTTGATCGAGGGTTGTTGACAGAAAGCCATTGCTGCTGGAACGGGGGTGAAGAGCGCCACGGTTTGCTAGGAGATGTTAACTACCTCGCCGGGTGTGCAGGAGGTCGTGAATTCCATCCCGACCCTGACGCCTGCTGCTGTATATTTGGAGTCTGCGTGTCTCTTCCCCCTTGCGGTTGCGTGGATTTTTCTCCGGGTCCTCCGGTTTCTCCCTAAACATTTAGAAACATGAGTTTAGAATATGTGCCTGCTATAGATTTCCACGCGACAAGCCACTTCGTTGAGCTATCTATTTGTGTGGCCGGGTCGCTTCTGGAAAAGAGCTTAGTGGAAAATAGCTTAGTGGGCCTTACCTGGTAACATAGCAAAAAATTGTTACAAGTTAAAGTTCAATGGGCCAGTTGTGATGATGGTGGCCGGGAGATAGATGTCCACCATCGTCGTCGTTACTTATGAAGGTTGTGATGTTGTAGTTGGCGCGGTGATAGATTTACACTGTACATACCATTTAAGGGTGAACGCAGTGATTGGAGGCGAATATGAGTTTGTGTTGTGGGGAATGTGATGGATGAATCTTTTCATCATGGAACAGGCAAGCCAGGATGTAGGGACATTTAGAGGTGAGTGCGGTGATAGACTGGTGGCTCTGTCATTTACAATGAGGCGACCGGGGCGGGTGAGGGGGGGTCGCAGTGATCCCCCCCCCCCCTTTCCAGGACCCTCCCCATCCTTTACCCCAACACCCCCCCATCATTTCCAAGACCCCCAACTCACCAACCCCCCCCCCCCCAAATTCCCCTGTCACGCCAACTACAATTCACGAGCCCCTTCACGGGGCTGGCTGGTGTCCGTGCCATAGCTCAGCGGGAGCCACCCTGGAGGGGTAGGGGGGCGGGGTTGGTGCACAGTGGTGGTGTAGGGGCACGGGCTCCTGTGGGTTTAGGTGAACGTGACGATACCGCCAAGGTGGAGTGCGTCACCATTACTGTAGCCGGAATGGCCACGAGTTTTATTTTGCTCTTTGTTCGGTGGCGTCACTGGAGGATTTGGGGGGGACGGGAGGGGGGGGTTCATGATGCGTATGGTGTGATGATAATTACGTGTCTGCACAGACGAACCGCTAGAATGGCGCACCACGTTTGAGGCGTAAGAGGGCAGGACGCTGTTGAGTGAGGGAGTTAAAAGTCGTGATGGTAAACGAACAGATGGGCAGGCTGTCCCGTTAGGAGAGGGAGGTGGTGGGGAGGGAAGGGCCTTGATTATCACCTTGTGTATTTGACAAAGGTGGATCGCGGCTCACAACCTCGTTTTATTCCACGCTTCACCAAATCAAAATATTACTGTGGGCCTTAAATCCGGCAGTAGATTGCTCATGACCGATGATGTGTGTGTGTGCACGCATCTTTCTGAATTGATAACGCCGCTACGGATGGACTTTGCCATTGTGGAAATATGGCATTTGTTAATGAATGTTGTGGTTTTATTTATGCCTGCTGTGTTCATTTCAACGCCTATGTGTTTGTCTTATTTAATTGATCCGTGTGGGTTTCTGTCAACGTGTTTGTCAATTATTCTCTTTCATTGCCCTGTGTTTCTGTTGATCAAATCGAAAATATCAGGGCACACCTGGGAATTTTCCCGCGGCACCACCGGTTGCAAAGCTCCGGCCTTGTGGTTACAAGGGGGCAGGGCGAGGGTTCTCTTTTGTGCCTGTGCACCATAAAAATCGTGGTTTATGTTGTGCACGGCTAGATAACATAGCGGGTCGGGTCGTAGGCTTGACTGAACAGCCCCGTGATCGGGCGCGCTCGCCAATAAACCATTTTGCACGGGGTGGTGGTTTCAATCCCATCTCCATTAAGTCTGCACATTCGGCAAATTTTGCTGCCAAGATACAATGATCGCTGGTTTTGTCTCCTGACTCTCGCGGACAAGCAGGTGGTGTGCTTTGGGTACGTTACCCACGGTTCGTGGGCGACTGACGGATTTGTACTGCCGCACTCAACATGTGTGACGTGGTTTATAATCAGTGTGCTGGCCACCAAAGCTTGGCTAGGAATCCCGTGAGACGATTTACACACCGGTACACACGCAGACAGCCATTTGTAC